ACAAAGTGGGTACGCAAACTTCACAATCATACAATTTCCAGCGGGCACAGTTTTCTGACTATAAATGCTTATATCTATATACCAATCGTTAGTTCTTCGTTAGTTCTCGATTTTTCTCAAAAACGTACCCTCAACTATTCTTTCAAACATTCACAGCATCGTTCTTAAATAGTTTCAAAATACGTCCAAAATTAAAAGTGTTAGGTTATTAATATATACCGAGAATAAATATTGTTATCTTATGATAAATTAGTTATAATAAAATATTAATTGAAATTTAGTTTAATGATTTGAAAAAAAGGGATTTCATTCAAGTTCCATGTCTTTAGCCGGCTCCAGACTGTACCCACGCAAAGTACAGAACAGCAACTCGCCGAATCGCGAGTAGTATGACAGCAAAAGCTCGTGCTCGTGTTTTCCGTTCATTGCCGGTATTTTTGCACACATCAAAGTGAAGCAAATATTTTTGCCATTCTCGAAACGAACAGTTGGTGGGAAAACAACACATGTGTGTAGACACATGTAGATATAGATATAAGCATTTATATTCAGAAAACTGTGCCCGCTGGAAATTGTATGATTGTAAAGTTTGCGTACCCACTTTGTATGCCTCGTAACTTTTTTACTTTTTGAGAACTAACGTTAATATTGGAGAACTATCGAGAACTAACGAAGAACTAACGATTGGTATATAGATATAAGCATTTTTATTCAAAAAAGTGTGCCCGCTGGAAATTGTATGATTGTAAAGTTTGCGTACCCACTTTGTATGCCTCGTAACTTTTTTATTTTTTGAGAACTAACGTTAATATTGGAGAACTATCGAGAACTAACGAAGAACTAACGATTGGTATATAGATATAAGCATTTTTATTTAAAAAAGTGTGCCCGCTGGAAATTCTATAATTGTGAAGTTGGCGTACCCACTTTGTATGCCTCGTAACTTTTTTATTTTTTGAGAACTAACGTTAATATTGGAGAACTATCGAGAACTAACGAAGAACTAACGATTGATATATAGATGTAAACATTTCTCATCAGGAAACGGCGTGCGCTAGAACCCGGAAGTGTGAAGTTAGCGTACCCACTTATTATCGGCTATAACTTTTTTATTTTTTGAGAACTAACGACAAAATTTGGGAACTATCGAGAACTAACGATGAACTAACGATTGGAATGATCAAAAGTGGATACGCTAATATGGGTACGCCAACTTCAAGGACCTTATGTTTTCGTTTATTGCCATTGCCACTGAAAGTGATGCTACGACTTATTGTATAATCAGCTGATTTCATGTAATTACGTGTTTGTAAAACTTCGTTTTCAGGGAATAGGTTCTGCTAGCAGAATTCTTACCATATTGTATCAGGTACAATTAGGGAAATCCGGGTTTTTTAGACAACTGAATAATATAGCGAAACAGTTCATTTACAGTTAGATCTCAGCTTTGAATATGTGGGCCACAACGAGTTGGGTGAAAAAGTGGTTAAGAGGTTTTCAAAATAAACCAAAGCACATATTCATTTATCACTTTAACCTTATTTTGTTTCGTCCATTCAATGAATTGCTGGTATATAATGTCATACATACCTTATGGCAATAAAACATTCTGATTCTGATTCTGATTCTGATCCTTTGTTTCGATTTTGATGGCAAAAGATTAGCACAAACAGTTTGTGCTCTCACTTCCATCTCGTCAACTTCACTTTCACTAACTGGCATTTTTCAATCAGTTTAATCTACCTTCCCTTAACTTCCACCAACTTAGGTTAAGAATTCGCGAGTATCAACAGGAACAAGTCGGATCAACAATTAAAATTGTCAACTGATCAGCTGATTAGTTGACGTTCAAAGCATTACAATTTTAACTTCTTTTCTCTCAATCCTTGAACCTCATTGGTCCGTTACCTGTGTTGATATGAGAAAAACTATGCTGATATGAGATGAAACTATGCTGATATGAAAGTAAACAGCTGGTTAGTGAAACTTTTCAATTCTAAGAACTGAACTGAAATGGCTACTTTAAAAAACAGTCGTAGGTAAAAATATTTATATACATTTTAGTAAAGCAGAAATAGAATTGCTCTAATGGGCATATTACTTGTAAAGTTGCAGTCGTGCATGGAATACTTTAAAGTTTTTGGGTGCATAAAAGTTAACGACGCTGCAAGTTTGTTGTTAAATTCCAAGATAACTTGAACATGTTCTTGAGAATATCACATTTGTTTCCAACTATTTGTTTGAATTATCTGTATAAGTTCGCTTTACAGTGAGTGCTTTGGACAATTATTTGTTAAACGTAATGCATTCTCTGTCTCAATTTTTATACATACTCTACAAAAAATAGTTTAAAAAAAACAGAGTCAGGGTATATAAAATGCTTGAAAGACGTAAATTGAAGATTGTGCGACACATAGGTATTAAAATAAATACCTATTAATTATTGTTCTAAAAGTGTTGAGGTTACTTTGAATTTTTTCAGTTTACTTTTAATATACAGTTTTAGTTACACCACTATCGTATAAGTACTATGGTCAATGAAAATTAAGTATCGTATCACATATTGCATTCAATGAATATTTTTTGTCCCTTGATTTTATTTATGTAGACAAATTATTGGGTTTTATTTCTTTAGAACTTATATCTATAGACACCATAGTCTAATGTTCACTTCGAAGTGAAAGGTAGAAAGACATACTACAAGCGTCATACACATCTGAATCCACTTCTGTTCTGAGTAATTTAAAAAGCTTAAGAATGAAAAGATGGGTTTCTTGCATGCATTCATCGATAACCCCAGATTTTAGTGAGGGAGGGAAAATGTTTACGCGCACAGGTAGCCAGCCTGTAGCATGAGACTTTTGAGTTGATCAGACTGCTCACTAAAAACTCCTCCGTTCTGTTGGAGTTGGACAGACCTGGAATTATTTGCCACATAACTTCAAGCTCAGACAATAGATTAATCAAGTCAGAATATATTTCCTTCCTCCCCACCGGCAAAATTTTGACGGCGATGACTCCAAGCGACCTCCAGGCAACGACGTAAAGAATTATGAAATGAAAAATGTCTTTATTTAAGAGGCGAAGTTAGGACTAGCAAGTTCTCTCTACCACTTAACCTCTAAAACATAAATAAAACTGTCCACTTTATAAATAAAATCAAATAATCTAAAGTACCATCATGTTGAAATTAAATTTAAATCCAAAAAGTTCATTCACACAAGCCGCCAACAACCCGCCACACCAGCGCCAGAGACTCATTCATACCTGCTGCTCAAAATCATAGATTTTATCTCTGCCCCAAACCTTGCACGGTTCGCTATGGATTTTTTGGTAAGGAAAAATAATTCCACATTCGAAATGCAGATACTAAGAAAGATTTATTAAAAACTGTTGACCGGTGAATTGGTGTAGATAAAACAAGAGAGCCTCTACGAGTGGAACGGGTGCTGATGTCAGAAATGAAATGGAAGTTATCTGATAAATACATAGGAATTTATTGTTGATAATGGAGTGTAGAAGAGTAGTTTGCCATCAATATGCGTTGATGGTTCACATGACTCTCGGTTCAGTTCGGCTGGGCCAGCTCAACACTACGTGCAGTTATCAAAGCCGCAATGTCAATCAGCTTACCCAACTAAAACAGACTTTCCTCAGAATCTCATACCTCAGAATGAATCAAGAATCAAAAAGTTGTATTTGCCATTAAATAGCAGAACCATAGACTAACCAACACAAGTAGACTTCTCATCTCATTGTAAATTTTGAAGCACGTTTTTCGTGTCTAGTTCATGTACGTGACACAAAGGCGCTAGTGTCGACGAAACTTTGTTTCCATTATTTTAGGGTTAATTTCTTGATTTTTGTGCTTTACTGTTTGGTTATATAACTAGGGGACAAGTTATTGTTTATGATTAGATCGTATTATTTGGTTAAACGAGGTTTTAAATGGCTTTAATAACGGGAAACAAATTGTAAACAAAACACGACCTCTACATAAACCGTACATGAACTAACAATAAAATTGTCTTCAGCTGTTCCATAAGGATGAGAAATCTACTAAGGGAGTATGTTTTATCTATGGCAGAACGTTCAATTAAATAGCCGTCGTTAATGCCAAAATACACCACAGTCAGTCTATAATAAAATTTGGTCTTATTATCTAAATTTTCTTCTACTTTGTAGAAAGCCTTTACTTTGTTAGCCATTTCGTTATGATTAAATTTCTTATTACGTAAGAGCCTCACAACCCTTGGCAGTTTATTAAAGAGCTGTGTGGTGTAGACGGCTGTTGTTTGGCGTTTAAGATGTCCATCAGGCCGAGAATAGGATTCTTCAACGGCAACAGGAGTGTAACAGTCTTATCATCTGTGTGACTTCCTGAATGTCGTAAGTAAAGGGGTTGTTATAACAAAATAAACCGATTTAACTATTATTAACAATAACTCTACCTCTGAGCACAAATTGTCAATGCCCCTAAAATAAGATAATACCATTCTTTCGACACTAGCACTCCACGTCACTAACATAAAACACTCGTAAAACAAGCCTCTGGATTGTCCTTGAAAGTTGATCCGTCCCCAACTGAATCCAGCCAAAGTCCCTGCGGGGGACCTGCCCCACCAGTTTTGAAATAACCGAATTAACTTGAAGCAAATTGTTAGAAGAAATGTCCCTACATAAACCAGACGGAACCAATATTAAAACTGTCATAAGGATGACAAAAATCTATAAGTAAAGGGAGGGAGTAGGTGTGTTTTATGTTTTATAATAGGCTAACCGTGTTGATGTAAGATAGTATACCTTATATTTATCTATAGTTTAATCTTAACCTATGATCAAACTGTTCCTACGCTGCAAAATATTACTCTTACTCTATGGCGAAATTTCTTACACTGTCGCTAGATATACGTTGCAGCTTTTTCTACGGCCTTATAAAATCGTCTGTCTCTGAATTGAATTCTGGTCCAGCCAGGTCTGAAATTCTGTTAAGTCTGTAGTGGTGCTGTTGCTTATCTTTGTTGTTTTTTTCATCTAGAATAAAATAACTACTTTAGGGGTTCAGTCAGTCAGTATAAAGTTTTAAGTGCGCAGTAATGAAATTACAATAACAGTTTAGATGATCCACTATGTGATTTGTTAGTCTGATTATCTATTTGAAAGGATAAAAATAGCCTACGTCTTTACTTTCTCTGAATCACGCATAGGTAAGCAACAATTCCACATATCATCCCCAAGTTTAAAGCTATTTTTAGATTAGGCATACATTTAGGTCAAATTGCCCTTTGTGCTTAGTGAAAGAATATTTATAGTGACAATTACTCCTCATTATCATTCTCACCAAAATTAATAGGCCTAGGCCCTAACTTAGATGCAAGTTGAGGGTTTGTCTAAGTTACTGAAACTTTGAATTTTGGGTTATGCTACAATTCCACAAATAACCTTATCAGATAAAAGGATCATTTGGGGTACAGTTTCTTAACTGGGCTATGCTAATACCGATTACATCTTACATCTTACATCCGGCATCTTCTCCACGATCAGCCGATCGGGGTATCGTCAATTTTTAACTGCAGGGTCTTCTTTCTTCTCGAGGCGAGACGTGAAAAAGTATGGTCAGACACAAAGTCTGAGATTTTATAGTAGGGCCTATCAGCAAGGTAGGCCTACCTATTGTTTAAGTTTTATGTTGAATGTGCGTGTTGGTGGTAGATTTTTTAGGTCTTGAGGCAAGAGATTGTAGAAAAATGAGCCAGAATAGGTTGGGGTTTTGTTAAATTTTTGTAGTCTGCTGAGGTAGGTAGGCCAATATTGTGTTTGTTGCGAGTGTTATAGGAGTGTTTCTCCTATCGTAGGGTTGGGGATTGTTGTCTGGCCAGGATTATGGTTTCATATATATAGAGGGAATAGACGGTAAGGATTATGTGTTAGGGTAAAAAATGGTTTGCAGTGCTCCGAGGGTTGCAGGCGCAATATTGTTCTGAAACTAATATAACTAATAGCTATAAGTTAGGCTATTTCCAAATAAGAAACGTTAATTTTCTTGTCTTGCAGCCTATTAAAAGTTAGATTTTCGGCTGACCTGTAGGCCTATACAGTAAGTAAAATTAACAGTTTTTTTTTATAAGGGACTGGTAATTTCAGTAAATTTTCCAAATTAATATTCTTCATGGACATTGATGACTAAAGGGTGACTATTTTACTTATTTAGGTAGCCTACAGTATGTACACTCTCGATTATCCGAGCCCCGAGCCTTCAGGTTGTCCGGTCGCTTAAGGTCTAAATAACTTTTATATCGTTTATTTCCGGTCGGAAAACAATAATAGGCTAATGTTTAAAAATTAGGAATGTTTCTGTTAAAAGTAAAAAATAGCAAGTATAATTTGCGATTTCTTAAAATTAATACCGTACTTTTATACTTAAGCATGTTTGAGCAGCTACAGTATTGTTTTTTTAATGACACTCCTTGATTTACAGTAGCCTAAATACATGTTCTATGAAAATACCAATTATTGATCATTTTATATTCACAATGCATTGTTTTAAAACATAAACTAAACAAATCTTTGACTTCTTTATGTGGTAGTAACCCCCTAACATCAAAATCTAAGGGACCTCCGTGTTACAGTATCCGAGATTCTCTGTACAACCGAGGTAGTCTCAGTCCCACCAACCTCGGTTAACACGTTCACTGCTGAAAACCTTTACACAGGCGCTCCTAAACTGCGGCGAGGTCCGGGCGGAGCCCCGGCACGCTAACTGAATCAGCGATCGCTTGAAATATCTCAGTAAGACGAATCACAAAAGAGCAGTGGTTGTTCAGCGTTACCCCGAAAGTGGACGTAGTTCACTAAAACACCCAAATGTAGCAGCACTGCCTGGATCAATAATCAGAGTCTTTGTAATATAGCTTGAATGGAGAAAATCCCCGAAAACGGGACAAAAGCATTGCCAGACGGGATTTTACGGGAATGTTTAGTACCATACCTACACCAAAATTAAGCTCGCATTCTACGCTACAGGCTGGCAACAATTATAATGTTCCCCGGCAATGGCTGACCAGTTGTTGGCATTGGTGAAGGACGTGATTTCCCGCCCCGCAGCAGTGGCGCCGGTACCGCGGGGCGAGAATTCCCACCCCTCGCACTGAACGTGTTAATAGGGAGTGTAGGCGCCTACTGTAGTCATTTTAATTCTTATTACTATGACTCCATTACCAGTTAGTCTTTACGTTCTTGTTATAATGTGGCATTTGTAAAAATAATAAGCAACTGTGGCACTACAATCTTCCTTTTTTATATATACTACATAGGTCTATTCTTCTTTGTTTCAGATGGGCACCATGAACAACATTCTGATGTATATAAAAAAGTCTCCAATCTCTCATCTTTTAATGATTATAGTATTTTTTGTGTCTGGACTTCTGATCAATTTTGTCCAGGTCTTCCTTTACTATGGTTTATATAATTTCAGCAAACATTGGTATCGTAAAATAAACTGGTACCTGTCATACTCATTGTATTCTCGTAAGTAGAAATACCATACAATTTTAAGTTTTCATTTTAGCTTAGTGTTAGCAGGTAGGCTAACATTTAAATCAAATTACATTTTAAGTAATTGTTTACCCTAATTAAAATAATTTTTATTGGCTAATTGAGATACCTGGCTCATATATTTAGGAAAATCCCCACCCACACAGGCCCCTACAGTAGAGCTGCCCAAAATTTTAACAGGTTTCTATAGGTGTCGTCAGAACATGGAGTTTTATCCAAATACTCATACAGTCAATTTTCTTCGACCCCAGAAGATTAGATCGCCGTAGGTCTTTTATACCGGTATTTTGAATGGTTTTATTGTTTTTTTTTTTAATGATTGCCCACATAAATGCATTTTTAAATATCGGAATATATTTTCCTATAGGCTATAGCCTATAATCCGATGGGCTATTAGGCTAATTAACAGTTGTGTAAGGAATATGTCAGCCTTAGTCACTTACAAGACTACAAGATCGCGCCACTCACCCTACACTCACGTCCATTCATACTTGGCTTAAAATACCTACTTTGTATGGTCGCCATTTCATTGAAAAGTATTGAAAAAGTATATATTATAAAAAAACACACCCCTCCCTATTGAATCTACTAGCGTACATAGTCAAATAGCCGATCAGTATTTTTTTTTATATTTACAGTCGAATGGCTGATGTTTAAGAGGAAAATAGTCAAGTGTGACTTTGCATTTTACTATTTTTTTTGCTTAATAAACTAGCTAATTAAGTTCCTGTTTAAGTTAAGTTACAAAGATAACATATTTCTTTAATTTTTTTTTTTTTATCTCAGTAGGCCTAGTATTAAAAGATTTTATTTATAAACATTCCACATTCATTTTGCACTTCTGTGCCCAAGACTGATTTTTAACTGAGAATAAAAAGAGGCTAAGGGAAATTTGATTTGGTTAATAGAAGTAGTCTGAAGGGACTAAACAACTAATTTATTTTATAAATGACTAACTTAGTTGCTTTACCCTGCTCGCAATAGGATGAGCTTTTTGGATAAGACTAACATGAGTTTTTTTTTACTTTCAAAAACATAACTTTTTGCTGTAAAATATGGTCTTTAGTGTAAGTTGTAAATTGTTGTACGCCATATGCCTGACGATGTCATACCAATAAACACTCATGTTTGTGTCAATTTCATGAGTGACAGGTGTGAATTTGTCAATTAATTAAGTCTGACAGCAGATTGATCGATCTAGCATTTTATATAAGTTGATCTTGTTTCACTATCCAAAATTTAGTATAATAGGGGCCTACTTTCTTATTTATTTCTTAAATAAGTTAAATGACTAAATAGTCCCATAAATTGATAAAACTTATATTTACAGTAGGGCCTATTGGCCTGGAATTATTATTATAGCCTATTGCTACTAATATTGGATCACAATAGGTTTGTGAGTTTTTCCCATCTGTGAGCTGAACTATTTATTACATTTACCCAAGGATTCTAGAAAAATCAATATAGTAGGCCTACTTGTAACCTTTTCATCATATTTTATATTTAAAAGCCAAAAAGAGCTTGTTAACTGCTCAATACGGTATCTGAATGCCAAAATTAAAGGTCATAAAACTAATGTATTTAGACAAAGAACTGTTAACAGAACTTATCGGGTTTCAGAATTCAACGCATGGTAGATAATACTATCATAAGATATCGAGTGGTGACCTATATATCTATAGTTTTCGTTAGTTCTACGAAACAAATCATTCCCTAAACTAACTTAATATAAAATTATGTTACAGACCTCAAAACATAGGTTTATTTTTATTATGCTTTGTTTGTGTACAAACTGTAAAAAGAGTTTTGGAATTTGCTTCAACTCATAAACGATTAGGAAACATTAAAAAAATTATAGAATCGTGCAGTTTCAAAAGCCAGACAATCTTGTCATAATTAACAGATTAACACTACCATCAATTTTATTCTGCTTACATAATCCAATTTTTTTAAAGATTTACGTAACTACATTTATTTAACACTATATTGATTTGATTTAAAACCTTTCCATTCATAAATTGAAAGTCTTCTAAATGGTAATGGAAAAATTTTTTTGATAAAATGTCAGATATATCAAGTAAAAATAGAATTTTCTTTAAATAAGCTACGGTATTGCTTATTGATAGTATTAATATTTATTTTTAATTATTTGTTTCTATTATCTGTCAGCATATCTTAAATTTAAGTTAGTATTGAAACGTTTAAATATTTGGCTGGTTTCCCAGGTTTGCTAGGAGTTGTGTGAAAATAAATGATTGACTACTGGCTGTATTTAATCAATAGCCCTAACTATCAAATCAACAAAAGTAACTAATCAGTTTTTCACGCACACGGATGATTAGCCTATCTCTCTGAAGTCATTTACCTTCGGCCTTTGCCTTCAGATTCAATGGTCGAGTAACTTCTTCTCGATGCCTTGACTTGATTGAACTTTTGTCTTTTTTATCTCCTCAAATCAGTTGCATGCAGATTGTGACTTGGCGTGAGTTACATGACAGTTTCATGAATTTTATACAATTTCATTAGTATTTTTTACCTATTCAGAATTTAAAATTGGTTGGTATTCTCCAATATCCCCTGAGTAGAGGAATTCTTCAATTACTTAAAGTGTGTTTAGCCTAAATGAATTTTTATTATCGAATTGTGGATATTTATAGGCATACACTGTGGATGCGATGCTCCCTGGTGTGGATTAACGTCCGCACGAGTGAGTACTCGACTATCCGCAGTGCTATCCTGATAATTAGACGAATTCGTCAAATACCAAGGAGAAAATGTGGTTCGGATTCCACTCTAAACTGTAGGTCCCTTAGTTGCCATTAGCTGTATGGGCTATTAATTAACAGCTGTGTCTAAAGAACATGTCGACCTTAGTCACTAACAAGACTACAAGATCGCGCCACTCATCCTACACTCATCCTCCACTCATATTTGGGTTAAAATACGCACATAGTGGCGTCCCCATCTTAAATAATTGATAATTGAAATAATTGATTCTAACACTAGTCAATAAATTTATTTGTGCTTATTTTGTAATGAATTAATTATTGAGTTTAGTTTTTTATTTAATGGTTCGTGTTTGACTGTTTTTTACAGAAGATTTATAAAACCATCATTAGGCTATTCTCTGCGTTCTTACTCCTTTGCAAAGTTCAGGGAAAGCAAATAATTAGTGTAATTACATCCGGGAGTTTGTAAATTGATTAACAATTCAAAGTTTGTATGTTTTGCCTTATTGGTAAAGTTTTTAGCTTTAAATTGTGTATTTAATATCTAATACAATGCCATTTAATTTCCACCAATGTTTACTTTAATTCCTGTTCTGATTTGCAGAGTTGGTCTGTCTAGCAGAGTGGTGGTCAGGAACCGATGTTTATATTTATATAGACAAGGATGATTTTAAGAAGTACTATGGGAAAGAACACGCATATCTAATAATGAACCATCGCTACGATGTAGATTGGCTTGTTGGATGGATATTCTGCGAGAGGATCGGTGTGTTAGGTGTAAGTAGATCTCGGTAGTTAGATAAGTTGAAATTTTTTTGGAGCCAATGTAGAGTTTTGATTTATTTGAACCATTTTTAAATGCTACAATATTATCAGTATCAAAATAAAGTGCTTAACTTTTTGTTAAATCTTAGGTTAGAATGAATTTAGAGCTGTTAAAGCTAAGGTCATCAAAACAGGTCTCAGTACATTAATTAAATCAGTGACTTAAACAAGTAGTCAGTTATCAGTGCGGGTTTAACACTACGAGCAATAAACAAACAGTTAAAAATTGTTTTAAACTTAATTTTTGATGATGTTGATTTTCTGTTGCTTATTGCAAAAAGCTTTTATCATTGATTAGTGAAACGGTGTCGCTATGGAACTTATTTACATAAAATTTTGTTGTTGTGTGTTCCTCTTTACGTTTTATTTTGTAATTAGTTTGTGGTCCATTGTGCAACTAATACTTTTCCAATCAGGGAAATGTCCGTGGTAATTCTCTAAACAACATGATTGTATGTTAAAATTAAATCAAAGTTGGCCATATTGGATTAACCACCCATAAAAGATTGTGCATTAGCCTTTATCTTTAATTTTTGAGAATAAGTAAAACTTCTAACATTTCTAAATTCCATTCTTGGGTTTTTGTTGGATACCAATTAAGTCTCCATGAACATAATACGGTTGTGTGCAAGGCAATCAATCCATAAACATAAAACTGTGTAATCTTGTGCTATATTAACGAATACAAGATTTGGTAAATGGTTACTAATATGTCATACTGTTATGTACAGAACTGCAAGGCATATGCAAAAAAGTCTATCAAGTACGTTCCAACCATCGGGTGGTCGTGGAAGTTTGCTGAGTCTGTGTTTCTGGAAAGAGATTGGAATAAAGACAAGGAGGCGATCGGAGTTCAAGTCAGGGAACTCGCTGACTACCCGGATCCTATAATGGTACAGTACTTATTAATGTTTTTTTTAACTAGCAGTTTTTCCTCATTGGTGCAGTTTTCAATAAGGAAAGTACTGGCTTACCTTGAAAACAACTTACAGTAGTTTGTTAGAAACAATGAAAATTGCGATAAAGACTAAAACATTTACAAAATAATAAAATGTATAACTAAGCCAGATTAAAATTATTCATTTCTTAATAAAAACTACCAATCTATTGGAGTTTTCCGTGTCAAAATCTCTTCATACAGTGTTGGATTTTTATCTGTCAGTGTCGTGAAGAACAAGAGCTATGTCAATTCAGTTCAGAAGTAAAATCAGTTCCAATTACAGATTCCAATCATCAGAAAGTGAATTGTCTAGTTGCTACAAATTTTGGTCCGAGCCTCTTCTGTAAGAGTTTTATTTTGCCGACAGAGCTAGTAAGGGTTCATCGTTCAATGTACTTTGGTAGTTTACTAATTTTGCTCTCACAACATTTGGTTTGATAAAACCGTCCATTCATTTTTGGATTTACTTCTACACTGCACACTTTTCATAGTTTGAAAACAATGGTCTAAACAAGAGGAAGTTTGCTGTACTGAATTGAGAGAAATTGTGTGAATTATAAGAATACATGAGCTAAAGTCAAATGTTTCTTTGTTGCCAGCTCCTACTGTACGCAGAGGGGACGAGGTTTACAAAGGAGAAACATGAAGCTAGTCTAGCGTTTGCCCGGGAGAAGGGACTGCCTCAGTTGAAACAGCACCTGACACCTCGTACCAAGGGATTCACCTGCAGTATACCCCATCTGAGGGAGAAAGTGCCAGCCATATACGATGTCCAGTTGGCCTTTAAAGAGTAAGCTTGTTTACTATGCAGGTGTAGACTTTATCAACCATTCAATACAACAACAATCGAAGGAAAAAATGTGAAAGAGAATTGCTAACTAACTTACTGAAGTAGCCACCCAATGGTACTACAGTCCTATAAGCCTCATGTTCCTGACATTCCTTCAGATATTGTCCCACCATCTTGCTTTGAGCCTTCTAACTAGTTATCCAGGGAAATTCCCGAAAATTATTATTACTATTCATTGAGTTTTCTTTTTTCCTCAAATTGTGTCCAGTCCAACAAAACCTCTACCTTTTCCACCATGGCAAGTTTTAAAAATTAATTGTTAGCTTCATGTTGGTTTCAGGAACACTAAGGTCGCCCCCACAGTGACCAACATGCTGCTAGGTAAGCCTGTGGAAGGACATCTTCTGCTGAGGAGGATCCCGATAGAACAAGTGCCTGATGGTGAGGAGGCTGCTGCCGAGTGGCTCAGAGACCTCTACGTAGAAAAGGTGAGTTGACTGTTGTAAACTCATTGTGAACTCAGAAAATAAGATTTGAACTTGTATCTAAAAAGGTTAAACAATTCAGTGGATGTTAGGAAATGTATGCAAAAGGAGATGAATTTTCTATAACATGAAAAATACCTTGCCAACCTCATCATTCAACTGTTTATCTTTCAGTGACTAGTTTTGAAGCAATGAGGCTCCATAAATATCATCTGAAATAACAAACAGTGGATTCACAATGGCAAATTTTGTATGCTTCAATCCAGAATAAAATCATTTAAATTACAGTCAATGCATTAATTAAAAGACAGATTTTACCTAGTCAAAGATACTTAAAATTTTTTGTTAAAAAACAGAAAAAGACACACAAAACAGACCTAAAATAAAGTGCCAGGCTGCCAGTGGCACAGAAAGAGTAAAGTATTCACTTGTGGTATTTTGGGGATAAATGAGCTTCTCTTCTAAAATAGTGAGGAGTTAAATGGGACGGGTACTGGTCATGTGCATGCACTTTTTCATGATTGTGTGTGTTCAGGACAAGATGATGGAGAGTTTTCTACACACAGGAGACTTCTTCACAGAGAGTGGTGTAGCGCGTGTGGAGCCGTTCTTACTGCCTCGTCGCTACTACAGTCTGGTGAACATGGTGGTGTGGGCTGTTGTGGCACTGGTGCCTGTGTTCTACTACATCGCGTGTCTTCTCATGTCTGGCTCTTCCCTTTACATCTCTATTGGCATTGGCATCATACTGTTCTGTGAGTAACTTTTCAGGTTATTGTGTATGTTTTAGCTGAACAATACTATTTAGTTAATTATGAAGGTTGTCTGTAAATCAAGGTCTCCAACAAGCTTTCTGGGGAAGTAAGCCAGTTCTAATATAACAACACTAACACACAGTTCTTTACTTCCGCCTCTAATATTTTAGCCGGTCCCCATCTCTGTGCTTCACTATGATAGTTCCTACCAAGTATATTGAGCTCTGTGATTAATTTTTTGTAATTTTCAGGAGTCAACCCCATTATTGGGTATAGATATACATGCCCCAGTTGATGGATGGACAAAAATTTATGATTGTAAACAATTTTGGTGGTGCAGAGGGCTTGCAGAATGACGTACACATTTGCACATTGTGGCTGGTTGCAGGCTTCAATCAGTTTGTTTTGAGACGGTCACTAGAAAAATTTTACCTCAGATTGGCATGTTTACAAAAATCATGGTTTGCTTACGACTACAGTAGTCTTTAGACGTCCTCCATCAGTTAGACCACGGTCACATGTTGATTAACGTCCGCACGAGTGAGAACTACGACTATCCGCAGTACTATCCTCATAATTAGACCAATTCGTATATACCAAGGCAAAAATGTGGTTCGGATTCCACTATAACCTGTAGATCCCTTAGTTGCCATTAGCTGTATGGGCTATCGATTAACAGCTGTGTCTAAGGAATATGTCGGCCTTAATACTTGGCTTAAAATACCTACTTTGTATGGTCGCCATTTCATTATAAAGTATTAAAAGTATTAAAGATCTGCAAACTATATTTTCTCAACTTTGTCACTCTCATGTCAGAAACTGATGCGCACTAGTCTGACCTTACCAGTGTGTACAACCTTCTCCAAACTCCCTCCTTTACTTAAACATTTTTTTTACATCCATACTCTTTTTTCATATACATCTCCTGGCTATGGATGGGAAAATTAAAGAACTTGACACTAGTTCTAGGTCTATACTAGTATAAACTGTTGCAAAGATAGCTCGTTCTCGGAGTTATATCTAACCAACAACCCCCAAAATAATTCTTGTTTGTGTTTGAAGATTTTATTGTTCATTAATTTTCTTATCTTTTCCCAGTTTTCTTCATGCTGTACAAACTGATCGAGATGACGAAAATCAGTAAAGGTTCTTCCTATGGAAAAACAACTCCTACCACTCCGACGCAGGAAGACATAGGCTGCACAGAGTTTAAATAAGACTAACAAACTGAAACAAGGCACAAAACTCTGTTTTATTTTGAACATCACGGGCCAATTGTAAAGTAACCAAAGATATTTTCTAAATAGTTCACAATTTTAAAATGGGTTGGTAGTAGACTAAGTTGGATTTGAAAGGAATTGGGTTAAGAGTTAAGGTTCAATGCATTAATACCATTACCTAAAAGGGTTGTCACGGCTTGAGAATATAAGGAAATAAAAACTTATTTTTACAATACTGAGAACGAGAAGAGGTAATTATTAATCTTTAAATAGCTCTGGATCACCTAAAAATGTCTTATTTTGATACATCTAGCTATAAGAGTTAAATGTTTCATGAACAGTCAAATCCCGTTCTTGAAGTTTTCATTTCTACTAGGTTTCTTGTAAAGGAAAAATTAAAACTACATTTATTTGTAATTTTGTAGTACACCATGTTAAAATAATAATCCTGATAAACATTGTTTACTTAAAGCATTTTTGTTACCTACATTATTTATTGTTTTACAAAAGCGTTTTTGTAGACCTATTGTTAAAAATAATAGTATATTTTGACTGTGATTGTTTTAGTTTCATAATTTTCACATGAATTTAGTTATAAATATCATCAGGAAATCCCTCTTAATAAAGGAATATGTATATTTATAAATTTCAAGTGTATATGGCAAACCCTAATACCATAGGTGTAAAAATTAGTGATGGGCGGATCCAAGAAAATGTCGGTACAGGATCCGGGTTCCGAATTCAGATGTGTACTGTCAGAAGAACGATAAAAAAAAACTTAATATTTACAGAAACTCAATTTAAATCATACTGTTTAAAATTAAATTGGTAATGTTTAAAGGTTGATGTAATAATATATAGAATAATTGTAGCTTATATGGCTAGGTATTGTCTCAGTATATGTCGATGTCAATAATAATATATGGATACGGATAGTCACAGATACAGAATTCCCTAATTTTTTGGGGACACTAAAAATGTTCAAAATCATAAATTGAAACTTCTTGCTAAGTTTGCACGACCACCAAAAGGGTATCTCTATTACTCTGTATTTGTGCATAGAAAAATATTAGATGGGGAAGGGGGATTGACTTTTTCACTTTTGTGATTAATAAGATTTTGGATTTATCAAACAAATAACTCGATTATATTCACTGTATTCGCCAAGTCTTGTATATGGACGCAGACAGACTTGTATGTGGACACAGATAGTCTTGTATTAGATACGAAATTAAATTAATGAGGAAAATTTTAACAAATTCAAAAAACATCTTAAAACATTTCTGATTGACCACGAGTTTTATAATTTTATAGAAGAATTTATAAGAAGAAAGATAACTTAAAACATTTTTAACAGGGTTTTTAATTTTTAAATTTTTATCATAAATCGTGTAGGCAATTCAGTTCAGTTCAAAGATACTTTATTCACAGAAATACAAAAGTATACATGAATGGGCTAATGCAAATTGTGTAAATAATTGAAAGTACTTACAATATTGTGTATAAGGAATTTAGTAAATATTCTTGTATATGGAGTTTATTTTAACTATTAATTTTATTTTAAAATACATCACTCTTGACAAAAAACCTGTTTTTTGTTAGTAAAATAAAAAATAATTTAAAACCTGGATCGAGCCCAAGATAAGATTTTTTGTGGATCCTATGTGGCGTCGGTTCTAGCTCAGATCCAGTGGATCCAGTAGTCCGATAACCGGATCCGACCATCACCAGTAAAAATGAATACAGTTTGGTTTAATGTTTTGTTGTTGTTGTTGTTTATTTTTATAATTGGAAATTTATTATTTACCACCTATCTGCCTATGAGATAGTAGGTTCCTTTATTGCCTCTTTTTAACATGGATTTAATGAATGTTCAGATATATTTTTCACTTATATGTCGCTCACTCACTCACTCAAATGGCCATTTATGCCCGAGGCGGGATTTGGCCACACCAACAACTTTTTATGTCGCTCAATGTTTGAAAATGTACTGACAAACACAAACTCAACCAATAAAATTATTGTGTTATAAGAACAATTAAAAAGTTACTTTTCAAAAATTAACTGTACCTAACTAAGTTTTATCAAGGAGACATATGTGAAAATTATAAGGTTATGTCGGTTTTATAACGTCATGCCTAAAAGCACAAATCTTGATTATCAAATGATTTCAATAACTTGCACTGCAAAATAACATTTGAGATCTCGAATGTATTTAAATGCACTTTAATCCTGTTAACAAATTTTAGTATAAGGAATGATATCATTATTCTACTGAATTTCACTTAGGCTACTTTAAAATACACAGACCATTGTACAAATAGTGACATTTTACTCTCAAAAGCAGCTACTTAGTTAACCCAAACATTTGGTAATTTCTCACCAGGTCTGGTCTTAATCATATTATCAGGGTTCTTGTGAATTAAAATAATTGTGTTTATTACTAAAGAGTAAATTAAGTGTATTTTTTACTGAAGAGTAAAAAGAACTATGTTGTTTTACAAATAGGGTTAACTGGATGAATGACGGAATTAAATATTATTATTAAGATAATATTAAGCACAATTCGTTACAAACTAGATCAGTATTGTAGAATAATGTTTTTTAAATTACATTTTCAGTAGAACAATAATGTTTTAGTAATCATTCCTTTCAAATTTCATTCCTTTTGAATTTATTCCTAGTCTGAAAGATCTGTTGGATGAAGATAGTCCATGCATTAACCCTTCAAGCCTTAAATATTATTCATTGATATAACGTAATCTTTGATATAACTATGTCCAGCTGTTTGTTGAGTTATATTCACATGGATAAAGGAAGTTAAATGTTACTCTGGTTGTGTGGTTGTATCTGGGGCTCAAAGAGTAAAACCATGGGGTAATGTTGACTTTCATCGCTTTCTTTTCCTTTGTTTGTATCTTTTGTCGAAAGATCTGGTATTTTTTTTCTCAAAACATTATTCAACTCAGTTATGTCTGGACTTTTTTAGATTTGTCAGTTTGTTCAAATCCACGGTTTTGTTTACTTTTTAAAACACAGTTTTGGAAGTGATGATCTGAATGATTGTAAATAGGCTAGTTTATTTAGTGTACATAACATTTTAGGATCTAAGTTTTTCTAGTGATGTTGAGATATTATACACAGATAAGGCTTGAAATACATGCATTTTTTACCACAATTTGTTATTTTGTTTTATCTGTGTATCTTGTTTCCTGAACTTGTCAGCATATTTGATATTGTTGTTTAGCTGTAATATTTATCATCTTTGGTGTCCATTGAATGTATGTTAATTTAAAATGCATTAACAAAAATAATTAAACTTGTCTAAACTCACAAATCCACATGTTTTTTTTTTGAGATTACAAACTTGTATTATATTTTTCATGTATTTAAAAAATGTTGACAGCTATATTGGCATGAAAAGATGAAAAGTGCCTATAATAATATTTTCTATTGCTTACTGAATATAAATATAATTCTTACATCTAAAGATGAAATTTGTTCAAATAATTATTTAATCAGGCAACTGTTTACTATAGGTAAAAGTAACTCTCACAATTCATAAATAAAATTAAAAACCGTCTTGAAGGGTGAAAAATTGAATTAAGGATATTTCTGAAGTCTATATCAGATCTGATCAAACATTCCAGCCAAACTTGTAATGTATTTATCAACTAAACACACATCTTAGTTTAGTTAACTAGTCTAGTGAAGAAAAATCAACTTTGAACTAAAACTTTCATATGAACAAATGTTTTTATTGTTGTAAGCTGTAAACATGACTATTGTGAAATTGTGCACAGGAATAGTATATTTCATTACTAGGACCGAAAGTGGCATTTTCCGTCGCGCGCTCAAGTTTTTGTGTTAGGCAAAGCCGAACACAGGGAACATCAATTTCACGTGCGAGGCGAAGCCAAGTATGTGAGAGCTATTTTCATGTACGAGGCGAAGCTGAGGACGGGAATAATGGAGCAAGTGCCGGATAATAACTTTCGGTACGAGTTATGAACGATACTTTTCATCACAACGCAAAAATACACAAACACAGAATAGCAGACCTCAGTAATATTACAACTATTTTATTTCTCAATTAATTTTATTGAACATCAAAATAAAATAAAATTAAATTTTCTAAAAGGAAACCTACTTATATTTCTCAATACATTTGGTTTAAATATCAAATTAAAAGAATAAAACAACTTTGAACAATACATACAGCTGATTCAAATCATTAAATTAAACCATAACAAAACACTAGAGCGCGTAGTGAATAAATAGAGAACTAATTGAGAGCGAGGGAAAGTAAATTTAGAGCGAGGGAAAATCAGCTGATCGATTTTCCCTCGCCCTAAATTAGAGCTTGGGAAAAGACTACTTTCATTGATGTCAGCTGTTATCGAAAGTAGTTACTTTCGTTACGGAGTGATGCAAAATCATATTTTCCCTACAAGTTTTATGTTACATACTAAACAAACACAACGAGGTAAAGCCCAAGCCGGCAATGATTGAAGCAAGTATCGGATAATCACTTTTGGTGCAAATTATGAATATGTTTACACAATAAAAACACCTGATTCTAATTACAGAAATATAGGGGAACCTTAGCACACATAGTGGACAAATGGAGAACTGACTTGAGCAAGGGAAAATCAGTCTGATCCTTTTTCTATTGCTCTAAATAAGAGCTTGAGAAACAATTAATTTCTATTAAATCAACTGACATAGAAAATAGCTACTTTCCATACGAAGTTATTCAAGAACAATTTATGAACAACAAAGCAATGAAATTATTACAGCAATTAAATCTACCTGTTCAGTTCATGTTAAAGAGCACTTATAATACTGACAAACATTACAGAAACTGATTAGTTTAGATAAATGAGGTTAGATAAATGAATCTGAATCCCTAGAAAATACTTAATAATTGTCACAATAAATCAAGTTTCTCTTATTAATGACTCATGCTAGCTAAAACTATTGACTGATGTAGTTGAAAGGAAAATAATAAATAGGAATAATTAATTATGCTTATGAGTTAAGACAAAATCACGATGAAGCTTAGCTTCAACATTTTTTGAAATAGGTTCTTCGTTTGTACACTTTGATAATACCCACACTTGTGTAGAAAATTATTAAATCAAAATTTTCTTTCATTCAACATAAAACAAAAAGGGGCTGTGAATTCTGTAGCACACAAAATCATTTCTAATAATTTCCTTGTTTTGCAGAAATGATATCAACAGAAGAAACTTCAAAACTTCTCTTCACTTGATGCAAACTCTTTCTTTTAAAGTTAAGCCAAATTTATTTTCCAGCATTTTCATAAGCCATGTTTACAGTCCAAGAGTTACTGTTAAGTAATCTTTACTGAGTTACTTGTAACCAATAACCAACCTTCCTATTTGATCTTCTAGTAATTTGTTATTACTTTATTTTTTATGTAAATAAATGTATTTTGTCAAGTCTAATGTATTTATTGATACCGATTCATTAAATTGCCAAATTTATTTTTGCCTCTACAAATAATAAAGGGTGGTAGGCAAGGTCAACCCAACAACAAGCAACAAGCCCGCAATCAAGATACAATTATTCAGTGGGGTTGGAGAGAGAGCTCTCCCGTGCTTTTGGGTTAGCTCCTGTAATCAGTTTCTGCATAATGGCAGTCTCACTTGAAAATTTGTCAGTTCTATAATCCCTTGCAGTACCAGTTTTTAGCAACGGCCAAATTCCAATTGATTTTAACAGCTCCCATTTTTTATATACCTATTTTATTTGTGTTTATTTATGGCATTGGCATTCAAAAACGTTACCCGTAAGGGAATGGACCAAACCCTGGCCTTTGTTCCCCGACGTCGACCCGTTGTTACATGGTATCAATGAGTAATTACTAATTAATCAATGGGGAAGTTGATAGCCCAATGGCAAATGGGTCCAGGATCAATCTCGCTTGGAGCCAGTGATCTACAGATTTGATAGGGCACACTGTAACGACTTTGACCTAGAAATTATATTGTCCACATGTAAATAATATCATGCTATAGCAAAAACTCTTGAAATAACTATTGTTATTTCAGGAGCGTCACATTCTGAGAGCTGTATGATTTACCAATTCCTAGTAGTAGTGCTATCCTGTCGGAATGATTTTTTTTTTGTGTGCCTATCTACGCCAGTAGCATTTATAAACCTTTTTTTAAGCGATTGCTAGACTTGTTACTGTTTAACACGTTCAGTGCGGCAGGCATTTTAACAAACGCTCGCCAATGGCGGCGAGGCCCGGACGCAGCCCCGGCGCGGCACCGTAACAGCGAACGCAATTGGCATTCAAATATTTTAATCTGACGAATAACAAAAGAGCAACGGTGATTGTAGGCTACTACGTTACCCCGAGATCGAACGTAGTTCCCTAAAACACCCAAAGGTAGCAGCACTGCCTGGATCAGTAGTCAGTAGCCTTGTAATATGGCTTGAAAAGAGAAAATCCCCGAAACCGGGACAAAAGCATTGTAAGACAGGATTTTACAGGAACCAACCGACACCAAAATAAAGCTTACATTCTAAGCTAAAAAAGGCTAGCAACGGTTTTAACGTTCCCCGGCAATGGCTGAGCTCATACTGAACTAATGTAGTGGGGGTTGCGCAACAACATCAATTGATGTAGGCCGATAGGAGCGCTCGCCGCGTGACTACATCAATTGATGTAGTCAGCACTGAACATTTTAAGTCGACCTGTTGTTGCAACATTAATTGATAGCCCAATGCAAATGGTCTGGTAATGATCACAGGCTTGTTACAGAATTATTGAGGGATAATTAGTCTAAATATGTTTTTGTGTCAATGGTATGTTACCAAGGATGTCAATGGCATCATTAACAGCTACTGGCCAGATTCAGTCATGGATAAAAAAAAGGGTATGCAATAGCCTATGCATACAAAATGCAGGTAAAATTACAGTTTTCTGGTTTCAATATCATGAAAAAATAGGATTACCAGTACAAAAACAGATTATAAAATAGTTATTTTTGTACTAGTGGGCGAAGTGGCACTTAGCTGCACACAAGAGAAATGTTTACGCACAAGCCGTATACGAGTGTGGAATGTTTCTCGAGTGCAGCAAAGGCAGTTTGACCTCGTGTTACACATTAAATTTTTCCTTAAGTTACTATAAATCATATTAATAATTAGTCTTTCAAACACTGTACAACACGTTTTTAGGTTAGGTTGAATACAAACATTGAACAAAATGGAAAACGCTGCACCAGCTGATCGTAGTTGTAATATCTTTTAAGTGTTGCTAACCTATTTCCAAGCGTACACAGATTACATGCATAATAAAAGCAAAACACGTTTTGTTGGAAAACTGGTGTGTGCTAAAGTAAAAACTGTGTGGCAAAGTAAGTAAATGCAGCAATTAGCAGCTTTCTGTACTATACGTTACAAGTCTAATGTATTTATTGATACCGATTCATTAAATTGCCAATTTATTTTTGCCTCTACAAATAAATACAGTTAAAAATAGTTTGTCTACAGTTAGGACTATTCATCAGTGCAAGGAAGCCCACTTTGTCGGGTGACTGTAGGAAAAAGGTATTGAATGAATATGGTACTGCTATGAAAAGTTGTCATTAAACAGTTTATTGTCTTCAAATGTAACCTCATAAGGCACTCGGTTATGTAAATTAAGTACTAACTAGGGTGTACTTCATAATTTTGGTTTATAAAACTCATGATCTCTAATATAATAGATAGTGTAATATACTGATAATAAATGCCCTAAAGAAAATAGGTAAGTAAGTGGTTAAAAAACAAACCATGTCATGCCACTATACCAGCATCTTGTACCATGTGGTAAAATATAGATTTTGAATTTTGTAGTAATGTTTTTGGATTTTCATACTCTGCCACTCTCCCATTCTCCATCACCAAAATCCTAAGCAACCAGAGACATGTTCATGTTAATAAGAGTGTGTACAATACTGTTCATTAGTAAGCGGTATTTTAGTGGTTTGAAAATAAAAAGCTTAGCTTAAAAAATTTTAAATTCTGACTAAGTTTTCTGAGGAATACGGATTTTTAGATAGTGCTGTTCTTTAGATCTGCTGTATGAAATAATTATTAACTCTATAAAGAAATACTTATCTTCTTTCTACACTTAGTGTAGTAAAATTCTTGTCTTTAAATTCAGTTGAGGGGTTCAAATGCTCAAGATAACCCAGTACAGTACATAAGTGACGCTTTTGCATGTTTAAAAATACTTTATCTCTATGATATAATTTGAAAGATAAACTCAAAAGTGTAGAGCTACTTACTTTCAAAACCCTACTAATATTTGAAGTCAATAGATCCATAAGATTCTTACAACATATTTACAATAAGATTAATTACATTATTATGTTGATTCATAGAACAAGCAAGTGAAATAAAGCTGATTGTGTCTTCCTATTAACTAGTGATGGTCAAAACCAAAAATTTCGAATCTCAAAACCGAAACCGAAACTTTAAAAATCTAATCCCGAACCTCGAATCTCAAAACCTAAACGCGAAACTTTTTTACTTAGCTGGTTACAAAGGTCAAGGTAACAAAAAATACACAAAATCATAAAATGTTAAGTATCCAATCAAAACTGAAAGAGATCGACTCCTGACCGTGACATAACATAAATGTGTGAATGTGACTGATAATCTTAAAACCCAATACAACATAATTTTTCACAAACATAAAAAAAAAATTAAACTTCTAACACCAACATAAACATGAATATTAGATTAATTAGATCATTTAGTGGTCAATATTTCTTTGTGTTTAGTAAATATTGATGTGAAACTGAATTGTACCCAGTTATAGTATTTAAGATACCTTTTGAAGTTCAGGATAAAATTTACTTGTTTCATTACTGTTAATGGTGATGTTTGCTCTGTAGCTACCAGCTTCTTTGGAAACAGTGTTAAAAACAATAACAATGGCACAAAAAAATGTCAGCAGTTTCAAAAATAAAACTGCCAAAATCTTCAATTTTGAAACTTTTGCATCTCGAAACTTGGTGATCGAATCTCGAAACCGAAACTTTTCCTAAGTTTTGATGGTTTTGAGATTTGAGATTCGGTTTTGACACATCACTACTATTAACGGTGATCGGCTTAAATGTCCTTGACGAGAAATAGTTGACAAAAATAATAGTAGTTACTTACCACAAAATAATATAATAGTGTATAACAAGAGCTTTCCATTTTACCTATTACCGCAAAGCTAAAGGGAGTTCTTAACTATTAATGCAAGGAAATAGTTATTCCTATTTCTAGCCAGAAAAGAAATTTCTTAGAACATCAATTTATAATGTGCCAAAAGTCGGGACAATATTCCCTAATCTGAATGTAAAGACTAGAATGATTTTCGTCTTGTTTAAAGAGGACAAAAGAAATGTCAGGATCTCAAAACTAGAGTGGCATGTTCAAAGGATAGATGAAGAAAATGTAGCAAATTCTAGCTACCAAGAGAAATTGGTAGAATGAAAAAAGAGTGACCAAAAAATGAATGGAAGTTCAACATTACAGAGAACTTAAAAGTGAAAGGAAAACATCTACTATAAGAAAAGGAACTTTTTACATAGGAGAGAGGACGTTAGAAAAGGCTTATCAGCATACCACGGAGACAGGAGCTGCTAAATTGATGATGATAATGATGACACATCAATTACCTGTCATAGTCCATGATGGTCTGCAGTCTGTGTGCGATTGTCAACACTGTGCAGCTCTTGAACTCTCTGCGGATGGTTTGTTGGATAATATTGTCAGTTTCCAAATCCACCGCTGCGGTCGCCTCGTCCAAAACCAACACTTTTGTTTTCCGCAACAACGCTCGAGCTAGGCACACCAACTGCTTCTGACCTACACTGTAGGGTAAAACAGTTTTAGTGATAAATTTATTTATTTATAATTATACAAAGGCATTGTAAACTGTGGAATAGAAGATCAATTGCTGGTCGTAGGGTCTACCATCATTTGCTGATTGGTTTACCACTTCATTAGGGTAGTGGATGCCTACTTTGTGTTAGTATTTTAAGCTGAAAGTGAATGCAGAGTGAGTGTGTGGAATGATTTTAAATATTTGTGCAGCTTTGTTCCTGGGTAAGAACAGTTGTTTCTTTAGTCAAGAACATTTATTTACTGTTACAGAACAGGTATGTATAGTATCAAACCATCAAACATTTGTTGCACTTTTCACAAGATTTTACTCCAAATCTACTGATTACAAGGAAACACTATAACTGCTCAGTTAGTATCACAGCTATGTATACAAGCATGCATGTTTGAAAAAAAAACATTACCAAGTACAGTCGAATTTCATCAAACAACACATTTTAGAAAACTAGAACTGCATTAAGAACTTACTTAATATACTTATAACTTATACTTACTTTATAAGGCAAGAGAATTTAAAACTGTAGTTACCACCTTTTCAGTCATCCTGAATATTGTATTTTAAATATTAACTGGAAACTAAAGTCGCTATAAAACCGCCAAACAATAAATCTACAACAAAACTCAAAATTTATATTTTTTAAATCTTTAGAATAATTCAGGGCATTAGTTCAAGAAAATGAAATTTCAAAATAAACCTAGCTTAGGCCTACAGTTAGTTATCTAAACAAATAATCCATCCACACATCTCACTGCCACATTATACCTGAGGTTATCGCCGCTCTCGCTGATATGATGGTGGAGCCCTGATGGTAAAGTCTTGACAAATGGCTTGAGGTTTGACAGTTCAAGGACCTTCCACAGAGTTTCATCTGATGCTTCATCAAACGGATCCAGATTGTGACGTAGAGTCCCGGACAGTAGGACAGGATCCTACAAAGTAAAAAAAATCTGATTGTTATTTTAAATTTAAAAGTTTGCAAATAATTTTACAATCAGAACTAGATGTATGTGAGCCTAAGATTTTTGCCAAAATCAAATTGAGCTTTTGAAAAGTGAACGTAGTTGAATTAGGCCACGGACAGAATGTCCTGCAAGAAATTACTTAATTCCGTCCTCACAGACTTAAACGTAAAATAAAACTGAACACATAAATTGCAGTAAACTGTAGCATCTTTTTATGTCGCAAGGATTATCAAAGTATCACTGACCAAGAAAATAATGAGAGAATATCATTTTGACAATTGCAAACTTTGTGAGCGCCTCTCGGCTCATAATCAAAGTATCAAAGTCTGAGGAAGAAAATTTAATTTTGTTAATAGCACATATTTTGTGAGCAGATCATTCATCTAAAATTAGTTACATTTGGGATGTATGGATGAAATTTCCACCATGGTATCCTATGTCAAGAATTAACAAACCAGTATTGTACAACCTGCGGTATGATGGTGAGTTTGCTACGTAGTTGTTGCAGTCCCACGGTGGCGATGTCTCGTCCATCTATGATGATGGCGCCCTCAGCCGCCTCTAGAAGTCGGAACAGAGCCAGAGTCAACGATGACTTGCCTGCACCTGTACGCCCTACGATACCTACCTGCACACACATCAATGAGGTAATGTCATTGTTCATGTTTTTGGAACATCACTTTAAATAACTATAGTTACAGTGGTAAGTCTTATGTCTGCTTTAAGAGACTGACAATACTTATACCAAGGGACCTACAGTTTATAGTGGAATCTGAACCACATTTTTTCCTTGGTATATACGAATGGTCTAATTTTCAGGATAGTACTGCGAATAGTCGTAGTACTCACTCGTGTGGACGTTAATCTACACCAGGAAATATCACATACACAGTGCATGCCTATAAATATCCACAATTCGTAACCTCTTGAAATACACGCACATAAGGAGAAATCCTGCTAAATTGGAGGAAGCTAAAACTTCCAATCTTAAGAAAATTACAAAGGAATGAGGCTTCTTGAAGAAAACTTGACAATCACAGGAAATTCTTCACCTTCGAGAATCAAATTAAAATAAACAGGATCAGCAAACTGACACATACTATCTCCCATTAGCTTGTCTACAACCCTTATAATAATGGGTGGTGGAAGTAACTATGATATTTTAAGGGAAAATCGTAGAAATTGACATTAATTTTTTAATTGTAATTTTTATCACGTTGGGGGTTGTACCATTTTGTTTGTAGTTAAATTAAAAGGACTGTAACATTTAAATTTAATAAAAATCCTTCAACTTTTTTGTAAAACTTCAATTTTTCTGTTATTTTTATTTTATGAGAAAATCACTAATAAAAATAAAAAATAAAGACCTGAAGATACCATGAATTAATACCCACATACCAAGTTTCATGTCAAATAGAACCATTGGTGTAGCGGGAAAAATTAAAAAAAAATCATATGAAAATCTGTCTTATGTAGGTCAATGTTGTATTTCACAAATGAATTACAGTGAAGATTCTATGATTATACTGATTCAAAGGATGATTTCTGCCTCAAGATTCACACCCTAAAGTGGGCCCAGCATTTAACTAACACTTGTACCAACCTTTTCCCCTGGCAGGACTGTAAAGGACACCCCTTTCAACACTAGGTCCAGTCCTTCTCTGTATCTCACACTGTAGTTCTGGAACTCAATCCTACCCTTGGCCGGCCACGAGGGTTCAACGCCAGGGTCTCCAATCCTTTCTGCCTCCTACCAAACATTCACAAAGTCAGTAACTATTATCACAAGAATGTTAGATTCTAAAGGTAGTTTGCAATCTTCAGTGGCCAAAGGGCGGAAATCTATATCTAAAAAAGAGAAACTATGTATGTGTGTATATATATACGTTATGGACTCCGAAACCGCTCGACAGATTGTAATGAAATTTTCAGGCATTATTAAGCATCTTTCAAGGATGGTTCGAGTGAAGTTTTGTGATGATCTGTCAAAAGGGCTCTGCCCCAGAGGGTTTTAAGTGGGCCAATGTCAGACTTTTTTATCTACAATGTTTACAAACAAATATAATTTAAAAGCAGATGTTCACTTTCACCAACTGATTTGTAGGTTTGAATAATTACAACATTCTGTATTAGCATTAGTCATGATTTGAAATAGTGCCACAGTGTTTCTTTTCTACAGAGTGCAGCACAGAAAACTATTTTACTTTTGAATAAGTCCAAATGTATTAAACACCAATCGCAGCACACCTGTGCACTTAACAACGTTTAAATTCTCCAATGATAAATATTAAAACATAAAAACCTTTATCAATGTATTATAAACAATAAAAGGGATGACTTTTTAAAATTTATGACAACAGCTAATTTGCAACCAAAAGGTGAGTGAGCGTAGCGAACGAACATCAACCTGGAGGCGAGTTAGCGTAGTGAACGAGCTAACCTGAAAACAAGTGAGCGCAGTGAACGAGCTCCAACCTAAAGGTAAGTGAGCGTAGCGAACGAACTTCAACCGGCACGTGATTGAGCCATGCGAATACTTATGAAGTTAAACGGGGCAAAGCCTGTGGGTACAGCTAGTATTTTATATAGGCCTACTAAAATGCATAAAGGAAAAAAATTAGATTTTCTGTAATTGCTATTTTTATGAAAATAAACAAAGTGCCATAATGAAATGTGTGATTTCATTCATAGTAGTTTTACAGCCCATTAAATCCCCACAATTTTTTACAAAAGCTCTACAATTTGATGATGACTAATGAGTTCTATACTTACCTGTTTGACGTTGCTGTACTCTTTGATTCTCTCCACAGAAACTAAGTTTGTCTCTACATCCGCTGTCATTCGGGTGAAAAAGTTTAATGTTATTATCACCTGCCATGAAAATAACATTAACAATTACATTCCACATTTTGAGTATTTTTTTGATTAATTAAAAATTTAAAAAAAAATTGTTTTGTATACAACTAAACTCATGTGGTTAAATATTGATTTTTTTGTAAAATTATGACTAAAATTTCAATTGTTTATTATTGAACTTTAATAAACTAATAAAATTAATTGCAATGCCTAATAGCTTTATTAGGGACAAAGATTTATTGTTGAGGCTTCATCATGCAGTTGACTTTTTCTAGATTTTATAGGTTCTAAGTTTAGTATTCCTTGTGAGAATCAAGTTTACTTTTTATAATCCAAAACTCTCTATGTCCCATAAGTATCACATTATTGAGAATCAACTGCAGTTCCAGTTATAGAGGAAGTTATTGACTTAAGTTTGGCAAAACTGCAATAGTGTTAACATTTCTACAAGCTTATCCATAAAGTGTTCAAGTTTAGATAATTATTAGTAACTAAAGTCTGTAACTGTAAGTTTACCTGTAATGCGTACATAACAGACAGGCCAGCCATCCCAGAGTCTAAAGAGCCCCGAGAAAGAACAGCAAACAATGCAGCAAACAACACTATCAAATTACCAACAACTTCCAGACGAAATGATAACCACCTAGGAAAACGTGTTGAAGATAGAAATATCGTACTGTAATAGAATTTATTTCTAGAATGTATCGCCTTAGTCTCCGCTGGACTAGGCCACCAGAGGCTGTGACCTAGAGCAGGGGTCTCCAAATTACAGCCCTCAGGCCGGACCCTGCCCGTGAGACATTTTTGTACAGCTGGCGTTGGCATGAGCGATGTGTGATAAAATTATTATTAGCAATTTTATTTTATACAATTAATTATTTGTTTGTAGTGGTTGTTTTGCACATTTTATTTTAGTTGATGGATATCTCACTACAGGTAATAACATTACATTACATTACATTACATTATTTGTCATGAGAGCCGAAGCCCCCTGACTGCATACCCGGTACCTGTCGTGAGACTTACCCGGGACCCATGATGTAGGCCGAAGCTTACGCATCAACCTTTTGCACATCATGGGCGGATGACTTAAGGTCATCAGGCTCACCGGCTGCCGAAGCAGACCCTTCGGAAAGAGGGTTGCCCCTCAATCCTAACCAGGGTTTCCGGCTACTTGTTTAAGCGTCACTCCACCTGGGTTCCACTAGGTCGGGACCTAGAGGTCCATGGTAGAGCGCCCCGACAGGGCGCTTAAACAGGTAATAACAAGCGAAATGCTTATGGAGAATAGTTAGACTGGAATTTTGCCGCCGAAATGAGCTTCACACGGCCTCCGCTACAATCGCTCGCAGGGCTGCCATGTTACTCTATCTTTCTCTCTCTCTAAGCCAATTCTTTGTCTCACTTTCTGTCACTCAGTCAGTTGACTTGGCCGCATTCTCGCGATAAGATTACCTAGCGGCCACTGAGTAAACCATCCAAAATTCAAATATTTCCAGACTAAATGTTTTACAAAGGCATTGCGCTTCTTAGAGGGTTTGTATTCATTGATAATCTGTTAGGTGTTTTCTGAATTATTTTTCTAAGCTTTCAGGTTTTTTTTTAACCAACAGGAAAATAACAATTTGAAATTAAACCAACCAAAAGAAGGAATTTTTGCACTTAAACCAACCTTTTCAGATTGCAGGATTCAACTTTTTCTTTGTCAGAGTGACTTTGCAAATATAATAGTCGTTACTCTACAAAATGTTTTTCTTGGAATTATTTGTATAAGATTTTTGACAATCAATTGTGTTCCCCTAGAAATCAATCCTCGCTTACAGTCAATAATGTAATAGCACCAGCTAGTTCAGAGTAAAAATGTATTTTTCAATGTTCACACCATATTGTTGAGAACTTAAGTTAAACATTCAAACCAAAAATGTATCAACCTCACCTCTGAGCGATGTAGCCAGAATAGGCACACTTTTGATGAAAGTCAATCCTTCTTTCACACTCCAACGTGAAGGCTTCTTGCAGGCCATAGGCTCTTATCGACTGAGCTCCTAAAGCAATAGTTAATTAACATAGGTAAATATTTCTTAAGTTTGATTATGATTAAGCATTTATCATTTAAAAACATAATCAAACTTGGCAAACTTCCACTGACCTGATGTGTTCAAGAAGCTGCTAGAACTCAAGTTTAGAGAATATACTGGAGCATTTGTTTGATCAGTGGTGTTATGAGGTCTGGGCCTCTCCAGTCAGGTGACAGCACTATACAGGGTGATTCAAAAAGGACTTTACAACTTTGAAAATTCATATAAATCTTATTAAACAAGGTACAGAGCTGGTTTTGGTGTTGTTTTAAAGGAAAACACTTCAAGTTTTTATTACCTTAAACTAAAGATGTTCTATGTGACTTCCATTGGATTTGGGGAAAATAATTATTTAGGTTTGAAAAAATAGTGAAAACCGTTAAAAATTTGAGAGAAATTTACAAAATTTTTAAAGTAGGGCGTTTTTTGACGGTGAAGGAGTGCGATTTTCGAAAAACGCATAATAGTGTCTTGTAGAAAATTTTATTCCGAACCTACGTTTTTCCCTAAAATCTTTTCTAGCTCTTACCGTTTTCGAGCTATAGCCGTTTGAAAAAAACGTGTTTTGGCGTTTTCAGAGGTCCACCATTTTGGATTTTTGGGGCGTTTAAAATTTGAAAATGCGACTTTTTGGAGTTTTATGGGTGGTTTGGAACCAAGAACTACAAGTGTGCGAAATTTCAACTCCCTAGCACATCTAGGAGTGGGTGTATCGCACTCCTTCACCATCAAAAAACGCCCTACTTTCAAAATTGTGTAAATCTCTCTCAAATTTTTAACGGTTTTCACTATTTTTTCATACCTAAATAATTATTTTCCCCAAATCCAACGGAAGTCGCATAGAACATCTTTAGTTTAAGGTGAAAAAAACTTGAAGTGTTTTCCTTTAAAACAACACCAAAACCAGCTCTGTACCTTGTTTAATAAGATTTATATGAATTTTCAATGTTGCAAAGTCCTTTTTGAATCACCCTGTATATTGAGGACAAGTCATGAGGAATTAACCTGTCTGTGGCAGAGGGACCCCCAATTAAAACAATGGATGACTCGGGTGAAATTGATTTTGCAAGTTTGGTTTAGTTAGTATTGTGTCCAATACATAGGCTGTTGGAATTCAAAGGATACAAAAGCATGTCATCAAGCATTATTTTTAAAATAAAAGTGGCAGATAAGTCCAAAACTATTGAATTACTGTGTTGGGTAACTTGCCTTGAATTGTTTCCCCAAAATGAGAGTATATCGGAGAACGAGTCGTAGACTCCAGTCTCTTCAACTGTCTTGACGTTGCAACGTAGAGTCTCTACAAACAAAGTTATCTTATACGTTGAACTATCTTATCTTATCTTATCTGACAGGGGCAGGTCGAGACCTTAAAGCACTTCATCCGAAATCGAATTATTGCGCACCCCAGATACTTAATTGCTTTCTTGTTGACCTACAAGTTGAGGCGCCCAATGAATGCCTGTAGCTTCCCAATTAGTTCATCCTCAGGAAGAAATCTACCTCTAGCCATATTTCCAAGAGTTATCGATCTAGCGTCAGAGAGCTCAATACAATCAAAGAGTAAGTGATCAGCTGTCTCTTCTGACCTATCACAGTACCTACAGATCGGTTCACCATCATATAAGCCCATCCGTTGTAGATGTTTCCTGAATCTTCCATGACCAGTTATCAGTTCAACAATTAATTTAATTCTTCGTCTGTCTAGTCTCAAGAGGTCACAGGCAACCTTTTTGGAAGGCCTAAACAGAGTAAGCTTGCTGACCCTAAGAAGGGGAACATCGACCCAGCGTTTGCGATGCTTTTCCTTGGCCCATGACGCAATCGCAGAACATACACTGTTTCGTGAGATGCCACAGAAGGGTTGCGGGCCTAACAATGATGTCGCAGAGGCAGTATTTGCCAATCTGTCTGCAGCTTCATTTCCTTTAATGCCTGAGTGTCCTGGTACCCAGCAAAGCGTAAGGTCATTTCTCCTACCCAACTCAGACACAGAAGCAAGACAATCCCACACGAGCCTGGAGTTGAATTCGTAAGAGTTTAATGCTTTTAAGGTCGCTTGACTATCAGTAAAGATATTGATTGTTTTGTCTCTGATATCTTTGTTAAGATGTTCTTGAGCACAAACTAGAATGGCAGTGACCTCCGCTTGAAAGACAGTTGGGTACACCCCCATTGGAAGACAAATACCAGTGCCTCCATTCATCCAATGCACACCTGCTCCAGTGCCCCCATTTTTGATCTTAGAACCATCAGTATAGCATTCTAAGTCACCTGTGGGTATGGGTCCTTTTCCGCCAGACCAATCCTTCCTATCTGGTATCAGTACTTTGAAAGGCTTTCCAAAGGAGTATTTTTTGGACATGTGATCTGAAGGTAAGTCCAATTCATCATTATGTACCACCTGAACAATTTTAGAGTGCCCTTTATTGTTCCCTGAGGCTATCCATAAGTTTTCGCATCTAAGGCGTTGGGCTGTTTTACTTGCTACCACCTTAATATAAATGTCAATAGGTAGCATGTCAAGCAGACAGTCAAGTGCCGCTCCAGGACAGCTACTTACTGCCCCAGTTATCATAATAAGAGCAAGCCTCTGAACTCCTGCTAAAGCTTTGACAGCTATAGTTGATTCCATCTTTGGCCACCACACAAGCGAACCATATGTAAGGGCGGGTCGAACAACAGATACATACAGCCAGTGCATAAGTTTAGGCTGTAACCCCCATGTGCCACTTACCATCCGCCTGCATGCCATAAGGGACCTCTCTCAAATTTTTAACGGTTTTCACTATTTTTTCATACCTAAATAATTATTTTCCCCAAATCCAACGGAAGTCGCATAGAACATCTTTAGTTTAAGGTGAAAAAAACTTGAAGTGTTTTCCTTTAAAACAACACCAAAACCAGCTCTGTACCTTGTTTAATAAGATTTATATGAATTTTCAATGTTGCAAAGTCCTTTTTGAATCACCCTGTATATTGAGGACAAGTCATGAGGAATTAACCTGTCTGTGGCAGAGGGACCCCCAATTAAAACAATGGATGACTCGGGTGAAATTGATTTTGCAAGTTTGGTTTAGTTAGTATTGTGTCCAATACATAGGCTGTTGGAATTCAAAGGATACAAAAGCATGTCATCAAGCATTATTTTTAAAATAAAAGTGGCAGATAAGTCCAAAACTATTGAATTACTGTGTTGGGTAACTTGCCTTGAATTGTTTCCCCAAAATGAGAGTATATCGGAGAACGAGTCGTAGACTCCAGTCTCTTCAACTGTCTTGACGTTGCAACGTAGAGTCTCTACAAACAAAGTTATCTTATACGTTGAACTATTCTAAAAAGTAAACTAATAATATCTAACCAGAAATGGACATTATTTATCCAAGTAAGCCTTTCTTCCAATTTAAAACTGCTTCAGTTTGTAAATATATATACAGTAAACTTTTTATTTTTACTATTAATTAAACAACCTACATCATTTGATTTGATTTAGTTGATGTACCAAAATGATGGGCCTATGTTTTAGAAAGTCGTAAGGGGAAGAGATTATAAAACAAGTTGGGGGTACCAATCTTTTATAAAAAATGTCGTGCATTAAGATATGGTAAAGGGTGTACTGTAATATAAATGCTTAACCAGATATAATGAAGGGAACATTTCAGTTAACTAAGTTTCTAGATAATTAACAACTGGTTGGAAAGTATTGCACGTAACTCTTTAAAAGGTTAAATAAATTTTGGTCAAGCAGGGTTATAGGCCTACTGTATTTATAATTTATTTATGTGGATCTGGATAGTATGAAGTTGAGTTGGCCTACTTATTATATCTATAAGTATAAAAGAGGATGTTTGTATATATATATATATATATATATATATATATTTGGCAGTGATAAACTCAGACACCGCTGAACCAATTGCCACGAAACTTGGTACATATGTGTAGAATTTCATGGAATAGGTTTATACACCATCAATTTCAAGATCCATCCAATCGGCTCCGCCCCAGTGGCTCTGGAGTTTCCCATGTTAACCTTATGAGAAATGGAATTAATGAATCTTAACAGCTGTTTCAATTAAACAAGTTGGTTCTGTTCTATGATGTTCAATAGCATTAAAGTTACAAGGATTACCAACAGGGTGCAGCACTATTATTTCTTTTACATTTATGACAACAGCTAATTTGCAACCAAAAGGTGAGTGAGCATAGCGAACGAACTTCAACCTGGAGGCGAGTTAGCGTAGTGAACGAGCTAACCTGAAGGCAAGTGAGCGTAGCGAACGAGCTAACCTGAAGGCAAGTGAGCGTAGCGAACGAGCTCCAACCTAAAGGTGAGTGAGCGTAGCGAACGAACTTCAACCAGGACGTGATTGAGCCATGCGAACGAGATCATCTTGAAAATTAAGAAGTTAAACGGGGCAAAGCCCGCGGGTTACAGCTAGTTATATATATATTATATAAATTTTTAAAATAAAAGTTATATTCTACAGAATAAGGGAAATGATATTAATAATGATAAATAAATATATAAAAAACACATGTGCGTTGTTTTACATTGCTTGCATATTTACTTTCAATTTTCAACAATTACGATTTTTAGGTTAAGTCAATCAGGGGAGAAAATCAATTTATACATCTCATTCTACTTATTAGTCTTACCTGGAAATAAAAGTTTATGATGAAGATTGGTATGATGGCCAAAATAAATGGTGGTGTAGTGTACGTTATCACCCCAATTATAGCGATAGTCTGGAAAAAAGTTGTAAGGTTAAGTGATATAAATTTTTTTTTCATTCCAGAACCCTTGACTTTTTGGATAAGAGATACAAGCACAATTTTATGGCTTGATTTAAAGATTAAAAATTACAATTTTAACTATTTAATCAAGGTTTGTTCTAAAATAATTTATTTACAAAATACTACATCCCCTTTTTGCTTGTAACATAGTCCGCCTAGTGGTAAATCCAAGACGGCGCTGTAATTAAGCATCAACAGACCACAGATAATGAACTAGCACAAACCTGCACGGAAAAGTTTAAAAACTGTTGCAGATTATAACAGAGTTGAGTATCGCAGATGTCAATGTCTCGGCTGAAGCGATTGATGATCCGACCCAGCGGCGTTGTGTCGAAGAAACTCATCGGAGCTCGCAAAACTCTCCGCAACATGGAGCAGTGGAGAAACCTGGAGGCTGCGACACAACCGAGCAACAGACACATGTTCGACATCACACTGGTCACAACTGTAAACATGAGAGCAAATATAGTGGAGTAGAATTTCGCTTCCAAGAGATGGAAATAATAGGTCCTTGAAAAAGTTGCTTTAAAATTCTGTTATAGTGTGTCATGCTGTAGAGGTTGAGGATTTAATTATCCAACATTCATTTTTACACAACTCAGCTGTTCCTGAGATCATAGAAAAACAATCAGTTAATCTTAAACATCTTTTATTCAAAAATATTTTGGATGTGATTGGTTACAACACTTATTTATTTAAATGTGAATAATTAATTGAGGAAAAAGCATCAGTACTTGAAGTTGATTTCTTGTACTAAGATCTGTTTTATGAACATTATTAAAATTGTAGACAAACACTTTTGGGAGCAATCAAATATTTCCAAATTTAATAAATCAAGTTACTAAAATGATACAAATTTATAAGGGAGTTTTTTGCCACTTTGGTCATAACAAAACATTGATAAGTATTATAAAAACATAGGACGAAAGTTAGTTATACCTTGTCCGATTCCCAAGGCTGCGTAAACGCCTAGGTACCAATGTGTCTTATCAGCGACTTGGGTACCATTGACTGTAGTAGACTTATCACTGGACCACTTGGACAACATCAGGTTTGTAGACACTAAGAACATCTGGCAGAGGACTGCACCACATACAGCTGTGGCAGCCATCAAAACTCCAATAGACCTCAGGTAGTAGAAAAACACACTGAGCTTCACCTGGAGGATATAAAATATATGTATAAACTTGGACAGCATTAGGTTTGTAGACAATAAGAACATCTGGCAGAGGACTGCACCACATACAGCTGTGGCATCCATCAAAACTCCAATAGACTTCAGGTAGTAGAAAAACACACTGAGCTTCACCTGGAGGATATAAAATATATGTATAAACTTGGACAACATCAGGTTTGTAGACACTAAGAACATCTGGCAGAGGACTGCACCACATACAGCTGTGGCAGCCATCAATAATCCAATAGACTTCAGGTAGTAGACAAACTCACTGAGTTTCACCTGGAGGATATAAAATATATGTATAAACTTGGACAGCATTAGGTTTGTAGACAATAAGAACATCTGGCAGAGGACTGCACCACATACAGCTGTGGCAGCCATCAATAATCCAATAGACTTCAGGTAGTAGAAAAACACACTGAGCTTCACCTGGAGGATATAAAATATATGTATAAACTTGGACTGCATCAGGTTTGTAGACAATAAGAACATCTGGCAGAGGACTGCAGCACATACAGCTGTGGCAGCCATCAATAATCCAATAGACTTCAGGTAGTAGAAAAACACACTGAGCTTCACCTGGAGGGTATAAAATATATGTATAAACTTGGACAGCATCAGGTTTGTAGACAATAAGAACATCTGGCAGAGGACTGCACCACATACAGCTGTGGCAGCCATCAATAATCCAATAGACTTCAGGTAGTAGAAAAACACACTGAGCTTCACCTGGAGGATATAAAATATATGTATAAACTTGGACAGCATCAGGTTTGTAGACACTAAGAACATCTGGCAGAGGACTGCACCACATACAGCTGTGGCATCCATCAATAATCCAATAGACTTCAGGTAGTAGAAAAACACACTGAGCTTCACCTGGAGGATATAAAATATATGTATAAACTTGGACAGCATCAGGTTTGTAGACAATAAGAACATCTGGCAGAGGACTGCAGCACATACAGCTGTGGCAGCCATCAATAATCCAATAGACTTCAGGTAGTAGAAAAACACACTGAGCTTCACCTGGAGGGTATAAAATAAATGTATAAACTTGGACAACATCAGGTTTGTAGACACTAAGAACATCTGGCAGAGGACTGCACCACATACAGCTGTGGCAGCCATCAATAATCCAATAGACTTCAGGTAGTAGACAAACTCACTGAGTTTCACCTGGAGGATATAAAATATATGTATAAACTTGGACAGCATTAGGTTTGTAGACAATAAGAACATCTGGCAGAGGACTGCACCACATACAGCTGTGGCAGCCATCAATAATCCAATAGACTTCAGGTAGTAGAAAAACACACTGAGCTTCACCTGGAGGATATAAAATATATGTATAAACTTGGACAGCATCAGGTTTGTAGACAATAAGAACATCTGGCAGAGGACTGCACCACATACAGCTGTGGCAGCCATCAATAATCCGATAGACTTCAGGTAGTAGAAAAACACACTGAGCTTCACCTGGAGGATATAAAATATATGTATAAACTTGGACAGCATTAGGTTTGTAGACAATAAGAACATCTGGCAGAGGACTGCACCACATACAGCTGTGGCATCCATCAATAATCCAATAGACTTCAGGTAGTAGAAAAACACACTGAGCTTCACATGTATAAACTTGGACGGCATTAGGTTTGTAGATATAATAACATCTGGCAGAGGACTGCACCACATACAGCTGTGGCAGCCTTCAAAACTCCAATAGACTTCAGGTAGTAGAAAAACACACTGAGCTTCACCTGTATAAACTTGGACAGCATTAGGTTTGTAGATATAATAACATCTGGCAGAGGACTGCACCACATACAGCTGTGGCAGCCATCAATAATCCAATAGACTTCAGGTAGTAGAAAAACACACTGAGCTTCACCTGGAGGATATAAAATATATGTATAAACTTGGACAGCATTAGGTTTGTAGACAATAAGAACATCTGGCAGAGGACTGCACCACATACAGCTGTGGCAGCCATCAATAATCCAATAGACTTCAGGTAGTAGAAAAACACACTGAGCTTCACCTGGGGGGTATAAAATCTATACTATTATAAAGAAGAGGTGGTGTCTGTGTGTGTGTTTGTATGAGCTAATCTCAAAAACTACTGAACCTACTGGGCTCAAACTGCACACACATGAAGCTACAGTTCCGAGGATACATATAGAACTATTCCCGCTTCGATATTGTCCTAGGGCTCTGCCCCGTGGGCATACAAAAATTTGAGGTGAGAGATTTAAAAGTAAATATTGATTGATGGTATCCATGGTAACAAAGAACAAACCTACAAAGTTTAAAAATGTAAACAAGCAGAACTAACAACTGTCAAATGAATTTTGATTTCTCAATTCCACACAGCTGGTTCAAACATATTAAATACTGCACGAATATTAGAACAGAGAGGGTAAGGATTATAAATTTAAAATAATGATGTCACTAGCCCGAATGTAAACATTATTTAACATCACCTAAATGGAGCTGTCAAACCATATGTTAATGTAATTTCATTAGTGTATGATTCTTTCAGTTACTTCATTTCTTTATGTTTATGATCTATTATACTGAGTTTGTACTAATATTTGTGAAATGCTGTAATAATATTTTACAGGGAATAATTCGTTGTAAAATAAATCATTAACACGTTCGCGGCGGCACGTCAAATGGCGGGCGTATCCCAGGTCCGGCGTAGCCCTCAGCATCGAACAAACCCGATTGCCGCGTGTGATTGGCTTTCCAATTTCGGGCTGACAAATAGCAAATAACGTGCAGGGATGTCCTGCTTTACAACGAGAGTTGACGTAGTTCGCTAAACACCAACAGATAGCAGCACTGCTTGTAACGTAGCCGGTCCCATTGGAATTGTATTGCCAAATGGAGGGAAAAAGACGGGACAAAAGTAGAATTTTGAGATTGCCAGACGGGGATTTACGGGAATATTTACTACCAACCAACACCACAACCAAATACAGTATACTATTGAGCAGTGCTGTGCGAGGTTTCAAGTTTCTAGCTCTAATCCTGGCTTAAAAATAAATCATTTCGTACTGCATTGCAGCTTGGGAGCGATCGCACCCACCAGGATGGCATTAGGGTTCCGTATGGGAGCGATCGCTCCCATGCCGCCGCGAACGTGTTAAAGAAATAATTAAGATTCTATAATCATTGCCAGGCCATTATCCTGAGTTTTATGAGGTTTATTTTTTTGATTTATTTCTGTGTAAACAGCAATATAATCCCCCTGCTGCAGCAAGTCTATAGACTGAGTGTTATGTTAGCCTTATGAGTATTCATATTAAGGGAATAAAAGAATTTTGTCAGCCGTTTCAACTGTACAAGTTGGTTCTATGATATTAAATAGCATTAAAAGTAAGGCTTACCAACAGGGTGCAGCAATATTATGTTTTTTGCATTTATTACAACAGGCTAATTTGAACCAACTAGCAACAAAAGGTTGTGGTACACAATGAGAACTTTTACTTTTTCCATGGTTAAGGTGCAGTTGTAGAAAATTAGGGCTATGGTAGATGTGTGCTACACTATAGGATACCGTATAAATTTAAGACCAAATTTCCTTAAACCGTGTCCTCTCCCGTAACTGCAATAAGCGTTTTATACTTTTATGCCAACCCCGTACGAAGGACGGGTACTCTGCTAGTATATGTATAAACTTGGACAGCATTAGGTTTGTAGACAATAAGAACATCTGGCAGAGGACTGCACCACATACAGCTGTGGCAGCCATCAATAATCCAATAGACTTCAGGTAGTAGAAATACCCCCGCCGCAGCAAACCTGCAGACTAAGCGAATTTCCATTTGACTGATTTGATTTACACTGAAATGTCTACTTAAAAATATAACATTTATTACCGATTTAAATAGAATTAGTTTAACAAGTACTTAGGTTTGCTGCATCAGGGAGGGTAAAACTGTTTTTTTTTTTGTAAAATGTTAATAGTAAGTAAGAAATAAAAACGTTTTCCAAATTTGATCAAAATATGTTCATAAACAAGCAAACTACAACAGTTTACTTATTCTCCATAAGAATAACATGGGAATTTAAATTTACAATTTTTTGGAATTTTCTCCGTAACCATTAGGCGCATAACAACGCTTCAATATACTAAATTATTTGTTTTTTTAAGCTCTACAACATGGTTTGGAAATAAATTGCTAAATTTTATGTTTTTTGGGTAAAAAATGGGAAAAACCTATTTTTACCCCATAAAACCCCCCGTAAACCATCGTTCCCATGGTCCGATCATGCTGGATCGCGAACTCGTTCGAATAAACGTAGGTTTACACGTTTGTACCAAATTTCATCAAAATCGGATCATTTTTGCTCGAGTTATCGTGCTAACGGACACATATATATATATATATAAATATATATATAAATATATATATATATATATATATGAATTTGAACGGATGGTGTTTTTGGCCTCTAGGGACCTCAAAACGAAAAAAAAAATCGGTCCCGCGTCCAGGTCTTACCATGAGTACTACGGTAATAGCTTATTCCCTATATGGGAAATTCGCTAAAACACACTGAGCTTCACCTGGAGGATATAAAATATATGTATAAACTTGGACAGCATCAGGTTTGTAGACAATAAGAACATCTGGCAGAGGACTGCACTACATACAGCTGTGGCAGCCATCAATAATCCAATAGACTTCAGGTAGTAGAAAAACACACTGAGCTTCACCTGGGGGGTATAAAATATATGTATAAACTTGGACAGCATTAGGTTTGTAGACAATAAGAACATCTGACAGAGGACTGCACTACATACAGCTGTGGCATCCATCAATAATCCAATAGACTTCAGGTAGTAGAAAAACACACTGAGCTTCACCTGGAGGATATAAAATATATGTATAAACTTGGACAGCATTAGGTTTGTAGACACTAAGAACATCTGGCAGAAGACTGCACCACATACAGCTGTGGCAGCCATCAAAAATCCAATAGACTTCAGGTAGTAGAAAAACACACTGAGCTTCACTTGGAGGATATAAAATATATGTATAAACTTGGACAGCATTTGGTTTGTAGACAATAAGAACATCTGGCAGAGGACTGCACTACATACAGCTGTGGCAGCCATCAATAATCCAATAGACTTCAGGTAGTAGAAAAACACACTGAGCTTCACCTGTATAAACTTGGACAACATTAGGCTTGTAGACGATAAAAACATCTGGCAGAGGACTGTACCACATACAGCTGTGGCAGCCATCAATAATCCAATAGACTTCAGGTAGTAGACAAACTCACTGAGTTTCACCTGGGGAATATAAGATACAGACTATGTATAAATGTTGACATGATTAATCTTATTCTTTGGGAGATGACCGGACCGTATCGTTAAATTAGCAAAGATAGCGGCCGACGTTACACATGCGTTACAGCAATCCGTTTACAGGACAAACTACAATAATGTCAGCCACTATCTTCGACAATTCAATTATGCATAGGACAACATAGGAAAGTCATAGAACACCACCAAGTAGAAGAAATAGAAATAATATTTTTTTATTTATAGTAGTTATTAAATGTTGATTATACCAAACTATTATGATCATCGTGAGTATTTCCATAATCTTTGTGCTTACTCTTTTAAAGTCATCCAAAAGTATCACTGTTATTCGTTTTAAAATAACGCCTGTAATACTTCATAATTACTCGAAATTCGAGCAACACGTACACTACTTTAATATACTATACATGATAGAAAAAACTACAAAACTGAAAATTGCAAATATTATATTCGTTTCAAACCCCTATATTAATTTACTTACACTTCCAGTTTCAGACTCCTCTACTGTCATGAGTTTTCTATGATTCTTGACATCCATCTTCTCATTGTTCAGGGACGTTTTAGATTCATTCAGCGCAGTTTCACTGGATGTGTTTGATTTTGCAGACAGTTGCCTGTTGGAGATACAAATTCAATGAGGTAAATTTTCTGGAATCTTGGAGTGGGTGTTGGGACTGGGAGTTACTCATATTGTACCTCAATCTTACCTATTCAGTTTGATAGACTCCTCACTCCTGGCAGATATTGCTCGTATGTATCTGTCTCGCAAAGATGCATCTTTCATCAGTTCTTCTCGCATTTCCCCCATGCCTGTCATCAGACCAGAAGTAAATTATGCCGTTTGTGCACATTTAAGTCATTGTGAGAAATGAAAACTTTGTGGCTAAAAGTAGTATTTTAAACAGAAAGTTGTTCTAGTTTTGAACGATTTTAAGTAGAACTTTGCCAAAGTCAATTACTTTAAAAAATCAACAACCAGTTTTTTCCTAAAACTAGATTAGTCGAGAAAACATTAGTATTCTGCATGCATATAAAACTTGCACAAACAAATGTAATTATTTTTCTACAAAACACTGCAGAGGATAGTATTTTCCATTTACCATTTTAGCAGCGCAGTAGACCCACCTCTTAACCAACCTCGCATTGACCGATGATCGGATTATCCGCCCTCAATCGTAAAATAGTACAGTTTGTTTTGACCTACCTTGCTTTAAGAGCAGTTCGGTTTAACCACCGCTTTCTAGGAATCTCGGCATTTCCGCTCCCACGCTCGGCGATGGGAACCATACGCTTCTCCACAGGATGTGACTAAGAATGGGTTATTTTGTATTTATCCCAAAACGTTAATAAAAAGTTGCTATTTTCGTTGTATAATCTATAATTATCTTATCACTAGAGTAACGCAACTTGTAGGGAGGGTGGTTAACCACTCCAAGGTCAAGATAGTTTTTGTGACTCGAGCCACCAGTGAGAGGTTATAAATAAACATCCTGTCTCGTAACAAAATCGTTGCTTGCATCTTTAATTTCTACAAAAAGTTATGTACTGTATTACGATAGATTTGGAATCATCAATTAATATTACAGTACTACAGTTATTAAAATAAGAATTTTTATTGACTCTTGCCAACAATTATAATTTATTCCACTGGGTGTATTTGACTTGTGTTTTGTGTTTATTTGTAATTTTTCTATCAATACGAAAATAGGAGATTTAATTCATAAAAAAAAATGCAAGTACAAATTCAAAATAAAGATGATATAATTCCAAATGAATAGCACTTCATTTTGCTATGTTTTTACGGATTGCCCATTTTAACTGACCGTTTGAGCTATCCAACCTAAGTCCGGTCCCATTAGGGTCGGTTTAGAAGGGTTTTACTGTAATACTATAAAACAAAAAAAGCTGACTTAAAATACATATGCTAATGTTAAGAGGGTGTTGAAATCTGAATAACATGAATATGAGACAACTATTTACCGTTGTCTTCATCAGAGTCCTGAGCATCTTCCAAGTACTGGAGCAGAAAGTCAGCAAAGTCACCCTTGTTAGCAATCAGCTGTTTGTAAGTTCCGCACTCTGAGATGCGGCCTTGCTTCATCACCACTATCAAATCAGCCTCCGCCAGAAAACTGACCCCATGTGTAACCAACAATCTTGTCTGTAACACTGATCACATGCCTTACTTCACAAAGCATTGTCCGACTAAGAAAAGAATAATATCTGAGCTAAAAATTGAATAAGTTATTCCCTATGTATGGGAAATTCGCTAAAAAAGTAATAATAAGAGATGAGGTGTCCACCATAAATAGAGGACTCTCATTCAAAACTCCAAAAAGATTGTGTTGCAATGACTACAATTTCCTAACGTGTATGGATGTGTCAAATCCGAATCTCCAATTCACCGAATTCAAAAAAAAGATTCGGATTCGAGATTTGATTAAAAAGATTCAAGAATAAGTATTAAAAAAAATTTTAGAATAGATTTATAAGGCATATAGAGGTTATTCCATTCTCGCTTTTTTAATCACCATAAGCCCATTTGTAATTATTTTTGGGACTCGAGATTTGATTTCTTTAGAATTCGGATTCGAGATTCAAAATTTCTGGATTTGACCATCACTAATCACTACTAACGTGTAATAGATTTTTCAGTTTTAGGCCATGTAACAACACTTATTTTCCACTGGACATAGTTTTAAAATCATGATTTCTTTACATCCTAAGATACTAGGCAACAGACTTGAACTATATTACTTAGGCATAGATGGTCTCAGAATTGGTGATTTGCAGGATTTGAACCCAGAACCTGGGATTGAGCATCACCTTGCTTTACCACAATACCAGCTTCGTACCCAATTACTGCATGCAATATTAAGTATAGATTTTCTTTTTCATTTACTTAAGAAAACCGAAGCCACTTTTCAGTTTGCAACATCAAATTTGGACTTACCGTTTTGGAGAGAACTCCACCGGGGCCAATGACATTCTCAAAGATGTGTTTGCCGACATGGGAGTCAACTGCACTCAGTGGGTCGTCCAGCAAATACAAGTCTGCCTTGGAGTAGACAGCTCGGGCAAGACTGACCCTCTGCTTCTGTCCTCCACTCAGGTTGATGCCCTGGCCAGGAACGTGTAATTGTCATAAATCAGTTCTAAGCCAGCACAGTTATCACTCAACCAGCAATCAGCTAATGAAGTGGATGAATAAGATGGAGGGGTGCTCAAGCATTAGCAAGAGCTTGGAGGAGAAAGGCTAAAAGAGGAAGAGTCAGAAAGTTTCATAGTTGTAAGGTTCATACATGACGACTAACCAAGCATGCTGGGGAAAATAAAAAAGAAAGAAAGATGATTTTGTGTGTAGGTGCAAGCTTCACACTATTGCAAACTTATGTAAGATGCCAAGACTTTTATAAAATCAATGAATCTCCACGTCGTAGTTAAGTATCATGTAGTGTTCCAGCAATCATAATTTAAAGTCGGACCGATTAAATCTTTTGAATTCCATTTTATGTAAATTTCTTCGCGGTATGTAAATTTTATCTTTTAAAAAGGGGAAAAACGCTAGTGAGTTTTATTTTTTTACCTGCGTAGATAATTTTATGATTTAAAGCCTTTGTTTGAATTTGTCTTTCCTGAATACAGTAATTTTGGTTAGCACTCTTGTGTCTATATATTGGATCTCTCACAATCAAATCAAGGCTTCAATCAAAAGTTTCACTGTGGCATGGGACACACTGCAAAAATATAACTGAAATCGTACGATTTAACTTTAGCTAGGGGCCAGATTTAGAGAGTTAATTTCAAAACACCAAAGTTGTTAACAAATCATCTATATTTACAATGTAGAAAACTCTGTGTACTCCACAAGCCCTAATGCTAAACTTACTGGCACCTCTCTATCACAAAGTTATGCAATAACTGTAACAAGGAAATAAACCTTCGGCGCAGGTTGGATCCTTTAGCAGAATGAAATTACATTTAACTTACCAAGTTTATTTGTAAAACTACATAAATTCAGTAGTAAAGTTTACCTTTTCACCAATTTCTGTGAGATCACCAGCTGGCAGCATGTGGATATCATGCTGCAGAGCGCAAGCCTTCACCACTCTTCTGTACGCTGCCCTGTCAAACTCTAGCTGTCCCGTGATGTTTGCCCTCAGACTCATGTTCTGAATCCACGCTTGTTGTGGCACATAAGCTATTTTACCCTGAAATTAGTTATTATAGTTTTAATGTTGCACAGAATTACAGTACAGTTTCCTTTGTCCTGTTATCCAGTAATTGGTCTGATTGGTAAATTACAAAAGTCCAAGTGTAAGGGGAAGAGACGATAACTTCTTGTAACAAGATTAGTTTAATTCTACATCCGACTATCAGCAGCAAATTCCGTACACAGTTTTATATTTTTTTGAGCGGAGCTCATATACTACACTCCTGCTTTTTTTTTACAAATACTCCTCCTGAACGGCTGAAGCGATCTGCACGAAATTTAGCACAGGCATAGTAACCAACCATGGGAAGGTATAATTCTGAAATTGTACAAATCGGCCCACAGGGCTTTTCCCTAATTGAGTTTAAGCTTTTAGAAATTTAACATGGGCCTTATGGGTTAATTGGTAGCCATGACAATATTTGCTAGATAACAATAAAAAGGTAAACAAGAGTCGCATATATGTTAGTCAACGTTAACATATGTGCGACGAACATATGTTAACAATATGTTAGTCAATGAATCATCTAAAATAGCACATTACAAATACCGAGAAACACTGAGAAAAAGGGAAGAACAATTGGATTAATATCATTGAGCATAATTTACTACAAATTGAATGACCAATAATTAGAGTCGCCGGAATTAGGCTGTTGCATCATTGACTTTAAATACTCCAAATAGCCATTCCATTTATGTGAACCAATATATAGGCCTACCATTGAGTTTGGATATTGCAAGTTTCCATTTATGTGAACTAGACGTGCCATTAATGCAGACTTTGAAATAGGTACTGCAAATAGGAATTCAATTATTGTGAATCAAATAAACCATTAACTTAGGATACTGCAAGTAGACAATTGTTTTACGTTAACCAAATTTACCATTAAGTTGGGATACTCCAAGTAAATAATTCGTTTACAAGAACCAGACATACCATTGACTTTAGAACCTGTTAATAGACATTCCGTTTAAGTGAACCAAGACTATTGACTTTTGACAATGCAGATAGGCATTCTATTAATGCGAACCAAATATATCAACTTTGGTTCATGCAAGTAGACATTTACGTGAACCAGACTTATAGTTTATAATTGACTTTGGATACTGCAAGTAAACATCTCATTTACGAGAAACAGATGCAGCATTGAATTTAGAAAAGTATTGGATTAATATGCTAGCTGCGCTCAATATTGCAAGCAGACAACTGCATTGTACATCGAGTTATTTTCACGAAGTAGCATTTTACAAAATATTAATGTGTGTATTATGTATCTTTATGGTGAAAATGTGATAATAATTGACAGATGTAACAGTGACTTCCAGGTTAAATTCTTTAATTTCTGTAAATAACAGTTTCCTTCTAAATTTGTACTTTAAGAGCAACCTTGAAAACTGTTATTGACTTGAAATTTAAATATTAACCATTATATCAAGGCTCTTTACAGTTCATTTTTATTTGCTCTCAATAAATCACCTTATATTTGCCAGTTTTTGGTAGTATAATATTTTGTTAGTGCTATCCTCACAACAGTTCTTTATTTAAAAAAGTTTATAAAAGAGTAGCGTATTGAAAAAAAAGTGGATGCCTTAGATTGTGCTCACTTTTGTATTCACTCTTCCGGAGATTTTGTTCATCTCTCCCAGGACGGCAGACAGTAAGGAAGACTTGCCGGATCCTACCGAACCCACAACGGCAACCAGCATTCCCGGAGGAACCCTCAAGTAGATGTCCCGTATAATGATCTCGTTGACATCAGAACCATCCCAGGAGAAGGTTCCGTTTTCTATCACCACCTCATCATCTGTTAAAATACAGTTAAGATATCAATTTTACTAACAATACAGTTGACTGTTGAAAGTCCAACACTTGATGATCCGATACACTTTGCAATCAGATGCTATAATGGGTCATCAGCCATTACACAACAAATTATCATCCACGCTTATAGTATGGCTACAAGTTACTGGAGATAACATTTGTATGTGCAAAGCTGGGGTTTTATTTGTCATGTGGCAGGAGTCGTGAATCTTTCCAGTCCAATTCCTTACACTGGATAATAGTAATGGGTAGACTTCCGTATCTGTTGGCACAAACAACCGAATGAAAACATCGATCGATATATTGATTATTCAATATATCGTTTGGTTAGTTAGGTAAGGTTAACCTAATAACACATATCAAACCAAGAATCTCTCGTAACTCTCGTGAAATGCCACTGGCGTTGAAAAAAAAAAAAAAAAAAAAAAGAATGAGGGATGGACTAAGTTGAAAAACAAATCGATAAACTTGGCACTACACTTTGAGCAACAGAAGACAGGATGGATTCCTTAGGCATTGTCAGTGAGGCTGTAACCCTATTGAGATTTCTAAGCCAAGAAAGTATATTTAGAGAGCAAGTATAATGAAGTGTAGAATAAATTTTAAATCAAACACTTACGTTCAGTAGGATCATGAGTTACTGACGTAGCGTCGAGCTCTTCACTACTTAAAAATTTGTCGATTCTCTTCAAAGCTACAGATGCCTGAAAAAATATTACAATTAGTTCAATAAGATAGAACCTTACATTAATCAAAATTCACTATTGTCAGTAGGCCTAATTAGTAATCTGTAGTTTTACGATAATTTCTTTACCCAATATCAATGTTACTTGCGTCTTTAGGGTGCGCTCTACCTCTCCGCCACGCGCTAATGCAAGGGTTTAGGATCTCCGTTATTGTCAGCTTAGTTCTCAACTGATTTGAAATATATTTATGTTAATTTATTCATTTCTTATATCTGTAGTCTTGTACTTTTTAAATTTTTTGATAATAGTAGAATTTTAAGTGGGAAGTGACTGGTAAATATGTCTAAATAAGAGTTTTTCTAAAGCATTTTACACATACAAATAAATGTTTAGAAGAAAATTAAAAGTAGAGTCATAAATTTTAATCTGAGGAGTAAGGAGTTAAAGTATGTAAGTTAAAGTATGTAATAATGGTTTCATGAACTGTGATATAATAGTCTTTCATAATAATGTTATTTCTGTCAACTTTATTTAAAAATGTATTGTTATTTAGTTTTAAGCTGTATCTCACTGCCAATTTTAGCCTTAATTATTTTACTATAGGCACTTACCCAACTTGTTTGCTTAACTATAAACAGTATTATTATCATCATTATCAATACATCTCAAATACTTTTGTACAAAAACCCAGTATTATTAGTTTATTAGTAAAGCATGTTCATCTATTTACACTTGACTCTGTACATTGTACTTTAAATTGTATATTATCTCCATTGACCTGGCCTATTGTATGACATGTATACTTAATGGCAATAAACTATTTGAATTTGAATTTGAATTTGAAAAGAAAAAATCTTCAGATGAAAAATGTTTTAAAAGTTAAGTGAGTAATTTTAGAGGAATCAAACGTCTGCAAGCAGTTTACGCGGCGCTGTTCAATGGCGCAACATAGCCACTGAGGCCTGAGTTGAGATTTCTGAGCTGAGGTAGAGCGCACCCTTTACATCAAATGTAGCTCTCTACTATATGTTAGCACTGTGTCATCTGAGTAATTCCATGAAGCTATCCCACCAGGTAATTGTGTACTGTATATTAATGTTATAAACTACTAAAACTAGTGATATCTTACTGTGGCCAAATGGTTTAGCATTTGCGAAAACATATTCAGAGGTAGCCTCAAAATGTAAAAGAGTGCAAGAGACACAAACGCTGTCTGGGCATCTAGGATGTTGTGTTCATCATGAAGCACAAAGCAGGTAAAAGATGAAACTGCTACCTATAACAAAACATATTTTGTGTCTTAGTCAGTTGGTTGAGAACGTGTAATTTTCAAACTCCCTTAATTTTGTACCACATATTGCAACCCTCAATAAGAAGTCTACCTCGATAACAAATAAGTCTTAAATAGTCCACATGACAGATTTAATCAGAGGTTCTACTGTGCCAAGTTTATTCATTTTATTGTTTCCTTCCTGGATTGGAAATCAATTCAAAATAAAGGGTTTGTATTTGCTATCAATCCCTTTAGTGTTTCTGATTGATATAGTTTCGTTCAACGCCTTGAATCTTGAGGAGCAAGCTGGTTAGTGGTAGAGCACTGGACTTAAGGTCCCGGGTTCAAAACGTACCAATCACTAATGGATTTTATCTGAGTGATAATGCTGCAACCAAAGGGTTTGAGAGTTTGCCAGTTTGAGAGACTGAAACACATAATGTAACAGCTTGAGTCATGGTAACCTCATTCACTGAAGGACGCAAGTTCATAAAAAAATTTAGGCCAAAGGGCCTAGCCTGTATTTATGTGAAAAACTATTCCGTTCTAGAGCCTAGCGCCCTAGGACAAGAAAAAAACACCTAGAATGCTTATTCATAAAATCTTGTCATATTCTAATTGCTTTATATTTCTCTACAAAAACCATTAATTGTTCAATAGATCGTACGACCAGGAATCTAACAATAAGGCTACACTTCACGCAACTCTAGACCCTTTGACCCTTCAGCTGTCACCTGTATTTTGATTGCTATAATTGTGGTTGTCATTGATGATGTTGCTGACAAGCCCAGTAAAAGATTTGGTTTTCAAAAAGTTAGGACTCCTCACTATCAGTTTGTATGCGGCTATATTTGAAATTTTATCTGGTGATAACCAGGTCTAAGAACAGGCATCTGCTCAAGTAAGCCTGTCCCATAGCATGGTAGCTTCATCCACAAAATTTGTATAAATTTTTCCCCATTCTGTAATGTACCTGGTACTGATAAAAAGAGGATCAAATCAAATCATTCTTTATTCATCATACACAAAGAACATGTATTGAATAGAGAGTAATCCAGAGAATAATAGTCTAAATTGTCATTTCAAAAGGGATTTTAACTGAATGACGTGACATTAGAACTTTAATAAAATTAGGGTTTAGATAGTGACAAAAAAGTAAGCAATTTCTAATCGCGTTGAATACTTCTAAATGAAATTAAATAAAGGAATCAAACACTTCTGTAGCGAAGAAAATCTGGAAGAAGAAAATCAATTTTCAAATTGCTTGAACACTCTCTTAGTCTGTCTACTGATGCTCTGCCACAAGCACAACCAATTATTCCTAAAATATTTTCCTACCTACATAAAAAACTTGATAATAATCTTCTTTTCTATGAGAATTTTGCTAATAACAGTCTACTCTACTCTACTTGAAAAATTAAATTCCATATTTCAAAAGGTGATGGTAGGCCTTTTCTAATACATGTTTAATCCACTAAACGTGACTGTAAAATAAGCATTTTATTTAATAAAATAACTAGATTCTTTCTTACACTACTTACAAAGTATGGTGTGATAGTATAACAAAAATGGATCATGCTATTGAAGATTGCAGCAGTTTTCAAAACTTTGATTTCATTCTGTCTAATTTTGGTTATTTTTTCTTCAAAGCTTTCTTCCCAGGCATATAGTTTTAAGACCTAAAAACAAAAATGTTACAAGTCAAACAAACCATGGATTTAATGGTTTTAGTTTAGTTATTAATAGCTTATAGGCGTATATAGTAAAATAGTTTATTGACTTATTATTATGACAAAAGACCACAGTTGGCACTCTCATTAATCCGACACTGCATTAAATTACTCTTTAATTATCTGTGTGATTCTGGATGTTGGTTTTCTTTTAGGGATGGTCAAGTCTCGAAATTTCGGGAAATTTTCGGGAAATTTTCAATCTCGTTACACGAGACGAGATTTCTTTTTGGCCGAGATTTTTATCGAGGCGAGAATAAAAAAAAAAAAAAAAATTAAAAACGCTTGCAGAAAGTTAATGCAATACCCGCAATACAGGAGCGAAGGCGTTCTTATTTAATTAATTCTTTTAATGTAAATATTACTTTAATTATTTTAATAATATTACTTTAATAACATTTGAGAAGTTTTGTTAAGTGTAAGTAGTGTGAGGAATGTTTTATTACTATAAAACAAGTCAAAACAAGTAACTATTTTATAAAAATTAATATTGCTTTTATTTTATGATTTATTTTATTTTAGGATAAGTTGAACTCTATCCTAACTGATATCACCATGGTTTCCTAATCGTAGGCATTTTTAATAAGTTAGGCGTGATTAATAAAAAAATGTACTGAGCCGCCACCTCACCTAATGGATTCATCTGTGAATTGGTGTAGGGGCAGGCGTCTTATTTCCTTACGGTCACCATTTCCAGAGTAAAGCTCCATGATACATACAGGTAATTAACTACAACTCCGGTCAAACTCTTTACTATAGTATAGGTATCTCTTCTTTCAAAACAGATTATTTTAGTCATATTTTTTTAAGCTGACACCCTACAAGTGCCTTAAGTATTAGATTATCCAAAGTCAACTGTACCTAAAAAAGTCAAATTAGTTAAAAAAGGAAAAACCTCTTGATCAAAACTTACTTTAATACTGGAAAGTACTTCGTTCATTATTTTGATCCTCTCGTCTTTGTATTTCATCTGTTGAACTCTCAACTTCCTCGCTTGACGAACCAACCAGCTGTTGAGAGGAATCATCAGTAGCATCACGCCCAGGCCCGCTAACGCTGCCACGCCTCAAAAACAAAATAACAGCTCTATCAAATAAGTATGGCGTTTATGCAAAAAATGGATTGAAAATTTATATTTTTAATACGTCTAGTAAAGCAGAGACATAAAAGAATAATACCAGCGTTTCTAAATTCAAAGTTTTATAGGTCGAAACTACTGCTAAAAGACTTGGGGTGTCTGAGTTTTTCATCAAATGTAAATAGTAGACCTACTCATACTTTAAAATCTTTATATTATTTTTTTTTAGATAAAGCTTCTGTTTTATCAATATTATTTTGAGCTTTGAAAAGACACAAGCACTATACCCACCTAACAGTTGCCAGAGGAACACCATGGTCAGGGTGATCAGCAGAGGAGTTGCCCAGATAAAGTGAATGAATAACACAGCGTAGTGAAAACTAGGGACATCTACAGCCATGAGGTTGATCATCTCTCCTACCGTGGTCTGCTTGCGGGCAGAGTTAGCCAGTCTGAGAGACTGAAACACATAATGTAACAGCTTGAGAGACTGAAACACATGTAACAGCTTGAGAGACTGAAACACATGTAACAGCTTGAGAGACTGAAACACATAATGTAACAGCTTGAGAGACTGAAACACATAATGTAACAGCTTGAGAGACTGAAACACATGTAACAGCTTGAGAGACTGAAACACATAATGTAACAGTTTGAGAGACTGAAACACATAATGTAACAGCTTGAGTCATGGTAACCTCATTCACTGAAGGACGCAAGTTCATCAAAAAATGTATATACCCGTTGTGTGTACAGTACAACTTTGTTGTACAGTCTCTTAGCCGACCCTATTGGGACTGGACCTAGGTCGGATAACTCAAAAGGTCAGTTAAACGGGCAATATATATAATCACTATTCTGAAGTCGTGTGTGCATTATTTACAAAATAAACTACATTATCTCCTATTTTTTTAGTATTAACGATAGAAGGGTCACAAATAGACCCAAAACAAGCTAAAGTCAAATACTTTCTGTAGAAGTAACACCCTGTAGAGCTTAGCGTATTGTTCCCATGGCCGATCGTGGGAGCGGAAATACCAAGATTAAGATTCCTAGAAAGCAGCGGTTAACACGAAGTGCTCTCAAAACAAGGTCGGTCAGAATAAACTGTAATATTTTACGAGCTACGGCGGATAATCCGATTATCGGTTAATGCGAGGTCGGTTAAAAGGGGTCTACTGTATGTCTTAATCTAAATAGTTACAAGGAAAAACTTGGTTAGCGAAACGGCTTTCTAATAACTTCATTAAGATTCCAGATCGCCTGAAATAACTGATAATTATTTAATCTACCTGGTTGCTATGAAAAAATCCAGGGTAGTTGAAACGGCTCCAACTATTTTGTGCTGCAGATAGAGCACATCGTCAGGTTTGAATGTGAGCTACGCTATTTGCAAATTCCTCATGGTGGGGTTTGTTAGAAACTTTATATAATACAAAAAACACGGATCATGAGACGAAGCACATACAATTTAAAAAAACCCCTTAGATTTTTACAGCTTGAGTACAACATATTTTTTAGGACATACATCGTTGTCAAATTATTATGCTATGTAGAATTCAACATTGGAACAACATTGTTCAAATCACTTTCAGGGTTTAATACAAACTATAGAGGTCACCCAGTGGTTGAAGAGTCAACCTAAAATATGTAATGTACAGACTTTTAACCCCACGCTATGAATTAAACATATGATTGGAATTTCTTCCATTTGTTTTGATTTCTTTTTATATTTTGTTGTTATTTCCTTACTAGCATGGCATCCCCCATGCCCATGTAAATGGGCTACGCTAACTCGCCTCCGAGTTGAAGTTCGTTCGCTACGCTCACTCACCTTTTGGTTGCAAATTAGATGTTGTCATTAATTAAAAAAATAATAGTGCTGCACCCTGTTGCTTAACCTATTAACTTTTTAATGCTATTGAACATCGTAGAATCAAATTGTTTAGTTGAACCAGCTGTTAAGATTCTTTAATTCCATTTAAATATGAGTACTCATAAGGTTAACATGGAAAACCCCAGAGCCAATGGGGCGGAGCCCTTTTGACGGATCGGCACTAAACTTCCCACAAACCATCCTTGAAAAATGCTTAATAATGCCTGAAAGTTTCATTATAATCTGTCGAGCGGTTTCGGACTCCATAAAGGACAAACAAACAAACAAACATACATACATTGGATTTTATATATATAGATTTTTATGTTAAAAAATAAATTATTGAGAAATATATGTAGGTCTAAGTTTCCTTTAGAATATATAATTTTATTTTGATGTTTAATCAAATCAATTGAGAAATAAAGTAGTTGTAATATTACTGAGGTCTGTTATTCTGTGTTTGTGTATTTTTGCATCGTGATGAAAAGTATCGTTCATAACTTGTACCGAAAGTTATTTTCCGGCACTTGCTCCATTATTTCTGAATGGCAAAACTTGAGCGCTCGGTGGAAAATGTCACTTTGGTCCTAGTAATGAAATATACTATTCTAAATAGATATCCCTGGTGTCAGTTAGAGTGGTTGACTAGAATTACTTTGAAAACAAGATGAAGAATTACATGTTTGTTACAGTTGAGTAAATTTCCCTAAAACAATTAGCATGAATTCTTAAACCAACATTGCTTCAAGTGTGTTCACCAAATAATCTGCTTAAATATTTTAAAACCATTGCAGTACTTTTTGAAACATGAGAATAATACCTTTTTGTAAATAGCAGACACAAGAGCTGTGGTGATCCGCATGCCAGTGATGTTTAGGATGATAAAATACTTTTTCATTAAAATAATTTGGAGGATGGATACAGCATACATGAGAGATGCATACATGCAACCTTTCCACAAGCTGTCATCATTGGAGATGAACTCAATCAGTAACCTATGTCAAACAGTTTGGTGTTAATAAAAATAATACTTGATGAAATATGAAAAAATAAGTTTCTGGCAATATAGTTCATTTTATGTGACAAGTACAGGGTGTCTAATGTCTACAGCATCTGCCTTACAAAATCTGAGGATTTTTGGTGACCTTATGAAGCAGTTTTTAGAGATACTTGACATGAAAAACAATACAACTACAAAATATGTATGTAGATTATTTGGCAATGTTTACCAATGTACCAATGTCACAAGTGGAGTATAGTGAGATATTTTACTTTCACTTACTAGGCTATGACAAGACACACGATTTGTATTGGTTAAGTAGAAACGGTTGAAGGGGATGAAGAAGCGCTTCAACTGCACCAGGAACTAATATTACATTTAATTTTACTTAACTATCTATTTGGAGAATATTAAATGTAAGTTGTCGAGCTCAAAATCTAAAACTTACACAGCAGAATAAAAATATCTTGCGGCTCAGACAATGTTTTACTTTCTTGTTAAAACTACAATAAAAATCACATTTTGTGGGTTTTCAGGGATATCAGAGACCTTACTGAAATATTAGGGACTAGTCCGAAAGTAAACTCTTGCAAATAAATCAATTAACCAACCTTAATAACTGTGGATTAACAAACATCAACAAGTCCGCAGTCAACCTCAGCAATGATCCAAGGAGAACGAATGGTCCAAAGGTTTTCAGTAGAGCTCCAAGAATAGAGGCTTTGGGCTTTGTTTTCGGGCTGAATTGGATTTTGCCCGACTGCTTATCACACAAAACTTCAGGATGGCTGAAAAGATTTAAGATTAAAATTTAGGACATGAATTTAAATAAAATGAACTATAGTTATTTTGTATTTTACTACCAGGGTCGTATTTAGTCTCCCGTGGTCGCGGATAAATTGTAAACATCTTTTGCGGTTGCAGCAGGGACTACATCATTTTCTCTGGTGATCACAGCAAAATTGTGATTTTTGTTTGCGTTTAATCTTTACAGTAGTTTTTGGTGGTTTCTAGAATGAAAGTTTATTCGAATAGCTTATCGATCCTCCAACAGATTATTATTGAAGCCACTTCCCAGGCTGAAGCTCCCAGACAACCAGTGTCTCCACCATTAGGGAAATACAGAACAGTTTACTGCAGAGGTAACTTACTTTGATAATCCTAACTGTGAATTCAAGGATCAATATTAGTATTTTATGTCAGAAGAAAACTGTGTTAAAAACTAAATTTAAAGTCCTTACACCAAACAATGAAAAACTGTTTACATCACTTACCGTTATTAGTCAACCGTGATTAGTAGTGGTTGATATTTTGCTCCAAGATATCAATTAGCCTATGTTTTTATTTGAAAGCACATCTAGAGAAAATCTGAGACCTTGTCATGTTATCATCCTCTCCTATTCTAGTCGGTTCCCACTTTTAATCTTTGTAGCCGAAAACTATGTGAATGAAAATCTATGCTTTTGCCAAATAAAAATTAAGTTCTGTAAATAGATTGCTGAGGTTTAGGGTGTAAGCCGCTATTGGATCCACACTAATGGACCTGATGACAACTCTCTCTCTCATTAAAACCTTCCTTGATTGAAATTTCTGTCAGTAACAGTAAAATATTCAAATATTTCATGATACAATTTTTGCTTTTCTGATGCCACAGTGGCTCTTCATCACTCAGGTAATCCTGATATCCTCACAAATATTCTTAAAACCATGCCCTTGTGTCTTGTGTTAAATCCTTAGTAGAACATCTCTATATTTAATTGCAGGTTATTAATGTGTTGCATGTATCCTTTATTGCAAAGTAAACTGTGTAAATCAAAAAGGTTGTCTGATAAATAAATTAAATTATAAACAATCCCTACTCCATCCACCACTCCCTCACCTTCTGTGTTGAGAGGACAGGCGTGACAGGAACCTAGGTATGATCACCCTGGCAGAGTTGAGGGGTTCTAGGTCAGGCATGTCCGAGGCCTCCAGGGGTCTAAGAGCCCCGAGGCGTACCAGGGGGGTGAACCATGACAGGGCCACTCTGGAGGGCACTGAGGCCGACAGCTCAGGGTTGGCCTTCTGGAAAGAGAATTAACGTCTCAGGTCTTTTGGGATGCAAGTACTACACTTGGTTGAAAATAAAAAGTACCCTACTGTGTCCAAAATAATCCAAGATTAATGGAAATTTTGAATCTTAACTTAAAAATGAAAGTTTGAGAAGCAACTGGGTATATTTCAACTCCGTTAATTAGATTGTTAAAAATAAGATGTTTGTTTAAGAAAATAAAATCCACTAGCAGGAGCAGGGAAAGAGGGAAGTAACCATTACATAGGTTGTTCAATTGAGCTGGTGATGAACAGAATCCCTTTAGGTAGTAGTGATAATATTTACTCTAGTATACTTCGATTCTACTGTGAGATACCATAGCAAACTAGGGTAAGTGTCTGTGAATGTAAAGACTTTAGTTACATTACAGAAACACCGTTATCACACAACATAGCCGTGTATGGTTCATGGTAGACATGGTCAAGCAGAAGGTGGATGAGGCGATTCAGAAGCAGGCTGTGATTGACTGATAGGAATATCATACAATCTACAACTACAGTGCCAGTTTATTGTGAAAATTGATAATCACACCACTTTAGTATTTATTTAGCAACATGAGAATCATTAGGTTACAATATCTTTGGATAAACCATTACACTACATAATGTGTGTATGTACCATACCAATATTAAAATTAAATCAATGAGATTTGTTGGTTGATTATTCAGATAACAAATCATCTTTTTTACACCACCACAGTTATCAGAAGTACAATGACTCTCAAAATATTGTAGAGGCAATTGTTTACAATTGTTCCACTTAATCTATTGACACTTTAATAAGGTCATGGGAACACTTTTAAACTGAATCACTTAATTTTGAAAAAGCAAGTCTTGCAAACAAACATTATATTTACCCTATTAACATTGTAAATAGGGGAAATTAATGCCCTTATTTTTTATGCATGTTATTTATTTATTTAAGGTACAGTAATTGTTTTAAGTTTTTAAATTGTAGAAAAAGGAGGATAGCAGCTAGCTCACCTTGAAAGTGTGGGTAGGCCATAGAACAAGTAGAAAAAACACTGTGCACACAATATTTCGTCCCCTAAGGGACTTTGTCAAGTGTAGAGAAAGAGTTTATAAAGTGTAGTTTGTAATTGTGTTGACAAAGCCCCTTAGGGGACGAAATATTGTGTGCACAGTGTTTTTTTCTACTTGTTCTATGGCCTACCCACACTTTCAAGGTAAGCTAGCTGCTATCCTCCTTTTTCTACAATTTAAAATCCTGGCCTAGAGCCTTTCCTTAAACAAAACTGTTTCGAGTTTTTGTTAAAGCAAGTTAATTTTAGGGTTATATATAAGCCTAAATATAGTTAAATATAAATATAAATATTAAATATAATATAATATAGTTGTCATAGAAAGGTAGAGTATATAAGTGGAAACAAAAGTGAAAGAAGATCTTAACTAGAAACAAGGAAAACCAAAGTGGTGATAAGGACTGACCAAGGACAAAGTAGATTGCTATCAAGAACCAGTTTTCTCCTTAAGCTGCAGACAAGCCAGATTTTCCTGGCTTATGCAGCAAGTTATTTATGCAATTTTGTAAAACTTTGTGATTTTTCTAACATTTAAAAAAATTTTAGCAAACAAAAACAACACCGTCGGTGACTCACGGACCTGGGCTCCATGCTACATGACTCTTTGGGCTTCAACTGATTAATAGGGGTTTTGCGGGGGGGGGGGGGGGGGAGGTGTAAGATCAAAATGTTCAATCGGTTCCAGGTAAGATGTATGTGAGGTACTGTTACTCCTAAAGCTACTTCCTGGCAATATCACATATTTTACACATATAAAAACAAATGCGCTGAGGAAAACTCAGTGGTGTCACCGACGGAGGGTTAAGAGTGGGAAAAGGTAAATGGTATTTACAAGTTTGGAAACAATTGCTTCAAAGAAAAAAATCTTATATTAGGATAAAACATTAGTGTCGTGTTTTGAGATCTTTGTGTAAGTTTTCTTAAATCCACTGGACTCAAATAAGCTAGCTGGGCTCAATTCTTTCAACAGAATTTCTTACCTCCAAGCTGGGAAATATATTATATCTTGGTTCTTTGTCACAAAACCAATGGAGAATGAAGAATGCCCACAGTAGAAAGTACAAGAAAATGCTAATTTTGGCTGATAAAACATCTTGTAGAGCCTGAAAACAAAGAAATATTTCTTTATTCCTTATACTTAAAATGTTTTTAATAATAAAAAAATAAAATTAAAATGAAAAATAATTAAAAGTTTGGACCGTTTTTCAACAAAAAAATGTAAATGCCAATGCGTAGACAAATAAACTAATTCTGAACCTGCGGTTCTGAATCAAAAACCGTTTCAACCAGATACTGTAGGCCTACTTCATTTCTGTGAGTAGGATGGACATTCAGCTGCATAGGCTAAATACTCCTGCTCTTTGTGTCAAAAATAGTACCAATTAACTTTAAAACTGTGGTGGCTGGTCCATAAGGACTTTGGGACGGAGTCCTCCCATTTTTAAGACAAAAGTAAAAATAGTAATGATTAACTTAAATCTGATTTTTATTCCTGCATTTGAATGTACACAAAAGTTAGCAGCTTTTTAGGATGGGTAATAATATGTTTTTGCAACAGGTAGTACGCGGGGACTCGGTAGATACTAGTCGAAACTCCCATATAATCTGCATGGGATTCCCATATAAAACTTGACTATCACACGCTGTGCCAGGCTGTAATGCAATAACTATAGATAGTTTGGGACTTTAACTGAATAAATGTTCTCAAAGTGCTTTTATTTCACATTTAAAAAATTCTAGGACTGCGGAATGCTTTCAGCAATAAGAGTAGCAAACCTCACAAATTAACATATTTGTAATAGTAAAATATCAAATTGTCAGCTTGTGTGTTTTATAATAGAAATTTGTACGAGAAAAGACTTTTGGGGACAAAAAAAATTTAATTATTCTAAAATTTAAAATAACTAAAAAAAAATCTAAGCCCATTTGATATGAAATGTGCTACGCATTTTTTTAGTTATTTTTTATCTATCACAAACTATTTTTAAATGTATCAAAACCAAGATTTTTTAAAAGGACTGCTAAAAATATAGGAAACCAACTGCCTCTGGTATTGACGAAATCAAAATTGTGCTCTATCCTCATTTTGCGGTTAAAATTTCAATAAAATCTTCACTAAACTTATAAATATTTCCTAGCAAAAAAAAACCTTTACAAACAAACCATAAGCTTAGCAACTAAATGATCATTAACACGTTCGCTACTGCAATAGTACGAAATTTTCCATTCACATGGACCAGCGACGCACATATGCGACGGCCGGTTTCCACCCATAGACTGCCGTCGCATATATACGACGGCTAGTCACATTAAAATAGACTGCCGACGCATATTTGCGTCGGGGTTCTAATGTTATTAAAATGCTTATATCTTTGTAACGGTCTATTTGAATGCACTGAATTCCCTGCAGTGGTCTACAGAGATGTCTGACGCACAACTGCGTCGCTTGGTCTGTGGATATGATGATTGGTGACGTCATATAATAGTTGGAAAAACTGGTCTTTACTTTTCTGCATCACTGTATGTATGTATGCAGTATGTATGCTGCATTATCCTATGTAGATTTTATATTTGTTCAGTTATAAACTGTTCTTGAATAATCTGTTTATTTCTTTACTTACTTTCACCTTAAAACACAAAAAAATGAACTGATGCGACGTTTGGTCTATTTCAAGAAAACTATGATAATTTTCACTAATATCTTCGCAGTAGACCGGGCGTCGCAAATATGCGACATTACAAAAGGTTATAAAAAATACAAATAAACAAGAATAAGTTATTTACAAACACGATTGTAGCGTATTACAATGTAAATGATCACTGTTTTACAGGTTTTCGCCCGTGGTCTGTGTGTACTGTTATCCAAGTGACAGTCGGTCTATGTGTAAGATTCAAATGTATACCTCGGTCTGTGGCAAAGACCACGGCGTCGCATATATGCGACGCTCAGTAGCGAACGTGTTAATATAAAAACTACTTCGTATGATTTACTTAGGCCTACTAATTCAAATTAATCCTATTTAAAACTACGGTAAACATGATACTTACACTATTTATGTACAATCTGGCGAGTGAGTAAATACGGGGTGTATAACAAGCAACTAAAACCAGACTGCACAAAAAGCAGGTATAAGAGGCTCGTATACCTCGACTTTTATGACGCAACACCAAATTGAAAAGGGTTCCCTGAAACAAAATGATGTGTTAATAAGAAAATATTTCACAAGCAAATGTAAAAGCCCTGCAGGAAGATTTTGAGACATTTTTAGGTCTGTTGCAGAAATTAAATTTTTTTTCCTCAGGGGCCGTTAAACTGTGTTCCCCCTCAAATCAAAAACTTTGAAACTCTTTCCGTTAAAAGTGTTTGATTTGAATTTACTTGATTGAAAATGTTCCAAACTGGCGTAAAAAAAAACAAGAAAAACAAAAACGAGCCTTTGGAATAATTTTTTTTTTAATTTTTGCTTTGAGAAAGAGTTCCCTATAGATGTTAATAAAATAGGTAGTTACATCCTCGAGATGAGAGCAAATTGTTTGAGATAGGCCTAAGCAATGCATTATCGTTAGTAACAATTCAAATGACATAACGTATGCAATAGTGTACAGGGGCGGATCCAGAATTTATGTTTGGGGGGAACAACAGGGGGGGGGGGTGTGGGGGGCCAGTGAAAAGGGGTTTCAAGGGTTCCTCCCTCCAGAAAATTGTCAAATTGTAACATTAAAAACTCATGTTTTTGTGTATTTCAGAGCAAAGATTTTTCTGTAGTGTTTTAAAATTAATTTAAAAATATTTTCTTGTAAAAAATACATTTTATCTGGTGCAAGTCAGGTCGTTTGGGGAGGTCACGTGCCCCCCCCTCCCTTGGATCCGCCTCTGATAGTGTATACTTAATGCATTTTGCAAATTATGTATGTGATAAGCTTACAGTATCTTAAGCTAAACCTGTAGGAATGTATATGTTTTCACAGTAATTTTTATTTTTTTATTGTTGTTTTATTTAATTTTTAAGCTATACAATTTATATTCTAAGATACCTACACTAATTACCTAAAAGTTTGTTTAAAGGTTCCTGTAGCAAACAGGAGGAATTTTAGTGAAAATACTGTTTCGATATGGCTCACTGAATCTGTTCACATCCTGAAGGTAATTTCCATTGATACTCTGACAGCAAAAATTACAGAGCAAATCCTTATCGCTAGTACCGAGAGTCATGACAACTAAAGACCTTCGGGATCTTTTCTATTCCTGCAGTTCCTGCTAGAATCTTTGCTCTTATGGCCTTAAAGCTGTAGGCGGGTTTATTTTACTAAAAAAATTGTTTAGTACTGCTTTGCAAGTAGATAAACAATAAGAAAAATACAATAAATTAAACAATAATTAACAAATTAAAACCCTGACCAACTTCATATTCAATTTAAAATGTATGCCATGACTAGAAGAATAATGATGAAAACTTAAGGTACCCTAGAGTAACCTAAAAAATCAAGATGCAAGGCACAGAATGAAAAATAGTACTTACAAAAATCAAAAACTGTATCACCGGAGAAATAATTTCTGCTGGATAAGTATTGTTATTCAGAGCAGATTGTATAAACTTTACGGTGCTGACTCCCATCATCAGAGCTAATACAAGCTGAAACAGTAAAAAAACTTGTTAAACTTAATGCCAAGTAAAAGTATTTTGTTATCATGAGGAAAAATTTGATCTTGTTGGAAAAATTGATTTGCGTTTACACTGGGGTTTACAACAATTAAAAAGCCCCTAGTTTTGCCAAAATGCTTTCAACACTTTCTAGCCTAACAGAAATTTTGCTTTCCATTACAATTTGTAAACATATATTTATAGCACTCGTTAAAAGCCATGTTTACATTGGAGATTTTAACTGACAACACCTGCGGTCAATTCTGGGGTAAATACAAATTTGTACATAAAGGCTTAGGTGGAGAACTGGCCCCTTAGATTAATTCTGGCGTTAGACAGCCATCAATGAAATGAAATGAAAATTGTCTTTATTCTTGAGCGTTTTTCATATTACAACATATGTTTTTCAAAACAACTCACGTCAACATAAATAAATAATATAAAACAAAAGCAACTCTCAAATCTTAAGTTAGGCTAATTAAAAATTAAAATATGTTCTCTATTCCTAATTATTTTACCATTCTTCAAACCATTTGTTATATATTTTTTAAATGACTTTTCACTGTCCAACACCCCTGGCTCAGTCCTGGATGACAGTTTATTCCAGATTTTAGGGGCAAAATAAGAAAACCCACAACGGTCGGACTCACAGCGCACACGGGGCATCTCCAGCATGTCATCCTGCCGTGTGCATCGGGATCGCATCTCAGAGCGAGCTCTCAGTCTTACCTTCAGGTACTGAGGTCTCTCCTCTGACAGTACCCTCCGGATGATGCAGGAATCAATCATGTTGTAAAACATTTTACAGTATTTTTTAGAGAAGATCCTTTTTCCTGACACTTGGAACAAGATATACTGCCCCCCCCCATTTCCCCCACCCACGAAAGAAGGTAATTAACTTATCTTGGTTGTCTAACTTATAACTTAAGCCAGGTGAAAAACAATTGTTTGTAAACATTGATAGGGTGAAGTGGGGTAAGTGTAACCACGTTTTGGCATAGTTCAGCTTTGACCTCAAATTGCCATCTTGTTATACATGATATAGTTCTGAAAATTTTTATGCATAAACTTTGACTAATGGGCTTTAAAACAATATGCGGTGTTATTAAAAAATTAAATCTTTTTTGGTAACAAAAAATTACTAAAAATTTTGCGTTTTGTGGTTACATTTGCCCCAGGGTTCGGGGCAAGTGTAACCCCTGCCTGTTAAAAATATATAAAGCATTGAAAAAGAGACATGGGGCAAGTGGCCAGATTCCAAATCTTTTGCTGATTCCAAGACTTTTTCACTTATTAAAATATCTTAATTTTTTCTCAAGTTACAAACTTTTTCGTGAACCTCTTCTCGCATTTTGTGAAAAACACAAAAGATGCAAAACGGAAAGATTACTGTTAAAACATAAAAAACACAACATTAAATGGTACTTACATGGTTTTTAATGTTCTTTAACATGTGTAGAATAAATCTCATAGTAATATTGTTTTTTTATTTACATTTGGGCAAGAAAATCCTAAATTGTAAAACGGGGTAAGTTTAACGTAAAAGTTAATCACTTAAGCAGTTCACTCACAAAAAATTATGTTTTTCTTCTCAAACCAACTTAACTCAGTAACAATATGTGTCAAATTTTACCTTATCTTCTAAATTCCTAGTTTTATATTTACAACAAAGTTTTTTTTTTCTTTACTGGATATTATATGAGTTACACCCTGGTTACACTTGCCCCGAATCCAAAAAGCCACTTGCCCCGACTGCAAAATTTCAGGGGTAAGTGTAACCACGCTTGTAAAATCTAAACAATAGGAAATAGCACAGATCTGAAATTATATTCAGATTCTAGACGCAAAAATTAGTTTGTAAACCAAAAACTGTCAAATTTACATAAAAAATGTGAGTATGAAAAATTGTCAAAGTTTGAGGTCGGCACTTGCCGATGGAGTGGAAATGTAAGCCTTTTTTAAACATTCTAAAACTATTACTTGCACATATTTTATATGCATTCTTAAGGCTAAATATAACAAAGGAAGATCCAAATAACAAGATATGATAGTATTTAGGTCCAAAATTATCTTATCAGTTGAGTGATGCGCCCTGGTTACACTAGCCCCCCGGTTACTCTTACCCCACTTCACCCTAACTATAATTAAAAAAACCTGGTTCCCAAAGTTGGCGAAATAAATTTAACCGTAAACAAAATAACCAACTTAGACAGTCCTACCTTAAAACTGTCAACAGGTGATCCATAACGATTAAAAAAATCTACAAAGATTATTAGATTAATTCATGGTCAATAGAGTTACTAAAAAAACTTTTTACAAGAAAGAGATTTTTTTTATTTTCTTGGCTATTCTAAAATTGGATTCATGGGCAATACTTAACTGTAAAAATAAAAATCCTATGGTACCTGTTAAATGCAAGACAGAAAGAGTTAAAACCTACGATTTTGGATAAGTTGAGCCATGACCATGGTATGTCTTTGTAGAAACTTTGCCGGATCCACCAACAGTCGAGAGGAAGGAGATAGAGCAGCAATAGTCCCGGCAACAAAACTAGAACAGTCTCCTCAAAACACGGGGTCAAATCCGGGACATCAGAGTACCAAGTTAAGTTAGCATCCTGGAAAAACACACAATATTAAACAGACCACAATGGAGTTGAGCTATGTTTGTATCATTGACTTTTGGATAGCCTACTGAAGTAGCATAGTAATACCATCCATAAGAACCAGAGCTGTTGTCAATTGTTTTTAATAATAGGACATAATAAGAACATTAAAGCTGTGGAAAAACTTTGATATCCGACTCCACTGTATTATGCTTAGTTATCAATTCTTACAATCAATATAGCCTAGAAAGTTTTTTAGTTTTTGGCTAGGCTAAGTTTAGGCTATTGATCAAATTGATAGGTACTTCTACTCGTATATATTCCATAATACGAGTTAGATATCAATGTTTTGCCTAAGCTCTTACAGAAATCCAAAATGCCATCCAAACACAATATTAAGAAAACCGTGGTGTGAATGAACTATTACCAACAGGCTTACTTCAAGTACAGTATCAAGTAACTATTTGTACAAAGGGATATGGTCCATCACACAATAGCAATAGCAAAGAAAAAATTATGCAAATACAAATGATGATTCAGTTATAATTTTAAAAGTTGCACTTTAGTTTACGCCTTCCACATTCATTCAATTGAAATTTTTGATTAAAACTATTGATATATCGATTTGATTAAAACTATCAATAAGTTATAGGCCTATAGATTTGATTTAAAAAAATTTTTGATGTATCGATTATTTATAAAGTTTGGTTAAGTTAGTTACTGTATGTAAGGTTAGTTTAGATCAGCATATTCCGAGACTTGGTACATGTACTTACTTACATGTATTCCGAGTTTTTGATGGAGGGTCTCTAAGAACCTTATATGTGATCTAAAAACAGCTGATAACAACCGATACTTCATTAGCTTAATAGGGATATTTACAATTAAGTTAATTGAATGAAATAATCTGTAAGGCCTATCAATAGTTTTAATAGATAAATTCAATAGAATAAATGTAGTACGTAAACTAAAGTAGGCTACAGCCATTTAAAAAAATAGGCTATTTATACTAAAAGATAGCATAATAACTTAGGTAATTTATTTACCCAAAATGGAGAAGAGCATAGACCTAGTTCCTCTATATTATTGTAAATCATGTTGTTTCTGAAACACTTAGAAATTCACTTGCATGAGCTACTTCCATCAAGGTTTATGAGTAAATAACAACCATTTAAAAACGTTCACGGATTAATCATCTATAAGTAGTTAGGCGGTTAGGCCTAACTAACTAACTAACTAATCCGCTGGTAAGTTATGATCACAAGAGAGTAAAGAACTGTAAATCTTATTCTCTACTCTAACAGTTAAGAATGTATAGAGGGAGTATTTATCTACAGTTGTACGGTTGTACAAACACTAAAAAACTAAACAAACAAACTTAAACTTCACTTAAAAGTTCAAATAAACTAAATAAACAGATAAAAACTACAGTTCAGCGGCTCAGCTTCAACTGTCAGCTGCAGCTCGTTTTGTTTATCAATCATCACAAATTTCCACCACAAGACAAACACAAACTCAAACACAACACAATAGCGTTCTCAAAACAAACAATAAACAAAAACAGCTGTTTCTGTTTCAGTTAGCAACAGGTGTGGAGGTTGGCAGCAGCAGTATAACCACTCTACAGAATTGAATCACTTACGTTAAGCATTGATCACTAACTTCTAAATTTAGTACCGTAGATCGTTGATTATGAACACATGTATGGGAATGGAAATGTTAAATGGGATATCATTTTGGAACTAGTAAAATTTGTTATTGCTAAATGTTATCCTTATAGAAAGGGATACTCTCGGTACTAAAATAAACTACATATTATTTTTAAGTTTTACCCTAACTCTTTAAAGTACAGTAGAAATAGTGTTTGAGGTGGAACTAATTGCAACATAAATTATTCCAGTTTGAAATGGTAGGTAATACAATTAGTTATAAAAAACATACTAAAAATATACATTTGTACTGTTACGCAAAATACGGTTTTTTGGACGTCATTTAAAAAAGTCTGAAATTTTAAATTATTGTTAAAAAATCTGGCTTGGTATCAAATTATAGAACATTTCATGCTGGAAAAGAATATAATGGTTGTATTTATACACTGTTAACATTGATGCACTATGGGCGAAAAAAGGTGCGTTTAAAAACGTGGCATTTGAAAAGTTTTTTATTTATTAGTTACTTAGCTGTACCCGCGGTCTTTGCCCCGCTTAACTTCATAAGTATTCGCATGGTTCATTCACGTCCTGGTTGAAGTTCGTTCGCTACGTTCACTCACCTTTAGGTTGGAGCTCGTTCGCTGCGCTCACTTGCCTTCAGGTTAGCTCGTTCGCTACGCTAACTCGCCTCCAGGTTGAAGTTCGTTCGCTACGCTCACTCACCTTTTGGTTGGAAATTAGCTGTTGTCATAAATTTAAAAAAATACCCCCGCCGCAGCAAACCTGCAGACTAAGCAAATTTCCATTTGACTGATTTGATTTACACTGAAATGTCTACTTACAAATATAACATTTATTCCCGATTTCAATAGAATTAGTTTAACACGTTGGGTGCTGACTTAGGTTTGCTGCATCAGGGAGGGTAAAACTGTTTTTTTTTTTTTTTTTTTTTTTTTTTTTTTGTAAAATGTTAATAGTTAGTAAGAAATAAAAACATTTTCCAAATTTGATCAAAATATGTTCATAAACAAGCAAACTACAACAGTTTACTTATTATCCATAAGAATAACATGGGAATTTTAAATTTACAATTTTTTGGAATTTTCTCCGTAACCATTAGGCGCATAATAACGCTTCAATATACTAAATTATTAGTTTTTTTAAGCTCTACAAAATGGTTTGGAAAGAAATTGCTAAATTTTATGTTTTTTGGGTCAAAAATGGGAAAAACCTATTTTTACCCCATAAAACCCCCCGTAAACCCCCGTTCCCATGGTCCGATCATGCTGGATCGCGAACTCGTTCGAATAAACGTAGGTTTACACGTTTATACCAAATTTCATCAAAATCGGATCATTTTTGCTCGAGTTATCGTGCTAACGGACACATATATATATAAATATATATATATAAATATATATATATATATATATGAATTTGAACGGATGGTGTTTTTGGCCTCTAGGGACCTCAAAACGAAAAAAAAAATCGGTCCCGCGTCCAGGTCTTACCATGAGTACTACGGTAATAGCTTATTCCCTATATGGGAAATTCGCTAAAATAATAGTGCTGCACCCTGTTGGTAATCCCTGTAACTTTTATGCTATTGGACATCATAGAACAGAACCAACTTGTTTAATTGAAACAGTTGTTAAGATTCATTAATTCTATTTCTCATAAGGTTAACATGGGAAACTCCAGAGCCACTGGGGCGGAGCCGATTGGACGGATCACGAAATTGATGGTGTCCTATTCCATGAAATTCTACACGGATGTACCAAGTTTCGTGGCAATCGGTTCAGCGGTGTCTGAGTTTATCACTGCCAAATATATACACAGGGTGTTTTTTTTTTTTTTTTAACTTGCACCTTTATTTATGTAAAAACCGCAATGGATAGAAATATGCAGTTGGCGGGAATCATCTATTGACGTAGGGGGCACAATTTTTTTGAATTCAACGTTACATTCACATTTCCCCCCTTTCCCCCCCTGCCACCATCTTAATTTTTTTTAATAGCAAGGTACCCCTTGTGACATATCTAATGAAAGAGCATGAAAAAAAAATATTTTTGGTGAAAAAAAAATTTTAAATCGGCTCATGAATTTGTGAGATAATCCCCCCCCCTTTTCCCCTACCCATAACTTGTTTTTTAATAGCAAGGTACCCGCCCTTGTGACATATCAAATGAAAAATAAATTTCACTAAACATTTTCTTTTTTCATGCTCTTTCATTTGATATGTCACAAGGGGTACCTTGCTATTAAAAGAAAATTAAGTTCTGGGGAAGAGGGGGGGGGGGGGGAAATATCTCGCAAATTTATGAACCGATTTTCAATTTTTTTTTCATCAAACATTTTCTTTTTTTGTGCTCTTTTATTTGATATGTCACAAGGGGTACCTTGCTATTTAAAAAAATTAAGTTGGGGCAGGGGGGAAAGGTGGGGAATGTGAATGTAACGTTGAATTCAAAACGATTGGGCCCCCTACGTCAATAGATGATTCCCGCAAACTGCATATTTCTATCTATTGCGGTTTTTACATAAATAAAGATGCAAGTTTAAAAAAAAAACACCCTGTATATACAAACATCCTCTTTTATACTTATAGATTTTATACTTTTAAAATTAGTTTTTTTTCATTTTTGGCCCTTAAAACGTAAAATTTCCCAATTTCTCTCTAGACCTTTTTAAAGAGCTTAAAAAACAAATAGTTAAGTATATCAAAGGGTTTTCGTACGGTTATTGGTAACGGGGAAAATTTAAAAAAATTTGAAATTTAAAATCCCCATGTTATTTTTAAGGAGAATATGGTAAAAAGTTGTAGTTTCCTTGTTTATGGATAGATTTTGATAAAACTTTGCAGATTTATTTATTTTATACTAAACAATTAATATTTTACTAAAAACACACTTAATTAGTTTCCTTGTAGCAGCAAACCTTACTCGTTTCGTTAAACCTGATGTTACTTATTTAATAGACTAGCAACAGAGCCCATTGTGGTTAAATAAGTTACAACGGTCTCTAGAAAAATAATAATGATTATGAAATCCATACACCACTTTGCTCACTAATATTTGGTACAGATTAAACTCATAACATTAGAATCACACACTTAACATTGCAACCTACTCCTCTTTATTAATGGATTTCAAAATATGAAATTACTTAAAATAGATAATAAAATTCCAATGAAGTTACAATAAAATATATTTAGGTTCTATAGCTATTACCATTGACTATGAATCCTTAAGGATTCATAGTCAATGCTATTACATTGGGCCATGACAGTGAAATTATATTTTGGTCTAGGTTTTTGATGGGCTAGGCTAGATAACAATTTGGAGAGAAAATTATCTTAATCTAGGGGTTGGTTCGTGCCCGGGTATGAAATTCTGATAGGCTGATTAACTTAATTTCTACAGTACTAATATAGGCTAAATAATATGAGATAGGCTAATAATGAGAATAAAAAAATTTAGGCTATAAGTTCTTAATTTGAAAGTCACTTGAATTTAGTCAATTCACAATGTGGTGGTTGGAAATTGATGATGAGTTTTTTAAGTGTTAATTGAGGTTGATATTACCAATTTTGTTGAATAGTGATTTTCTTCTTTCTTTATGTCTCTTTATAATCAATATTTATATGTATTCTGAATGTTAATTTTTACTTTTGGATATTTAAATCACTGGAGACTTGGCTCCCACATCCATCTCTCTCTATATCTTCCACCACAAGCCCATTTTCTTCCTTTTCTTTAGCTTTCCTTCCAACAATTACTTCACACCTGGACACTGGACAGTACAAAAGAAATATTTCCTACCTAGACACCATTTAATTTTAGAATATTATTTTTTAATATATAGTTTTTCTTCTTCACTAATTATATTTCATTAAATTTAAATATTCTTTTTGAAAATACAGTAATTAATAAATATTGAAAGTAATTTAGTTACAATTCACATATGAGTACATTCATGTTTTATCTCAACATAAGAAACACATTTTAAACACAAATGCAAATGCAAATGCACTGCTATATGTAGCAGATCCTGCTGTATATAGCTAAAATTGTGCTATCCATCGGGAGTCGGGAGTCGGTAAATATCAAAATAAATACGTGCTACATCTAACATAGCCGTATGTAGCAATGATATACTTATATTTTTCGTCTAGCATCTGCTATATGTAGCATTTAGTGCACACAGTTCACAGTTGTAGCCTCCTGGGTTCGAACGGTTTTGCTCAGCGATCTTTGTTTACAATGGAAGGACTGGAAACGGAAAGTGACAGTGCCTAGGATCGGGATGATATTATAAACTTAATTGGGCTGTTCCGTGGACAACCGGCGTTGTGGTCATACGTAAAATGTTTTTGAAGTTACCGTCGCCTTATTTAGCGTTTTAATTATGGATTGTCAGCGTATTCATCATCATTAAGGTCCCGGAATAAATCTGCTACACTGTACTTATTTCTCAAAGCAAGAAGCGGTCAAACCTAAAACTTGCTAAAAAAATCTTCGCTCCCGTCTGTCTCTCTCTCTGAC